TAAAGATAGTTTCATTACAAATTTGCTTTCATTTCTTAAGCTTTTGATTGAAAAAAAAGCAACGTCAACAGAGATTCTGTTTGAAAATCAACAAGAACCTCTTCTCAGAAAACATCTGAACATATAAAAAGACTATGAAAACCTAATGGAAATGAATGTTTTTGATTGAAAGTAAAGTTAGAGATGAACATGATGCCAACCAGACAACATAATCATTTTGGAATGACTGAAGCTGAAGAGAGAAAAGGAACATGTGCATGTTGGACTATACCTGAGGACATGACGATGTGTCCTCATAGATGTCACATCTTCTCCCAAACTTTTCTCATTTTTCATCTTTTTTTTTCACTTAAAATTTAAAAGAAAATAGTTGTTTAAGATAACAATTAGTGAGAATGAACACTAATTCTCCAGCTTCAGCTTCTTCTTCTTCTTCTTCTGAGCTTCTCTTATGAAAATGACTTTAACACAATTCAATTATCTTTTTGTCTTGTTTAATCAATTAAATAGATGTTACTTAAGTTTCTTCTCATCCAACCTTTTCCTTCTTCTCCGATCCCTTCCTATCTCCTTGTGTTCATGCTTCATCCTCACACTCTGCAACTTCATCACTTTGTCTCTCTCTCTCTCTGCTTATCTCCCTACCACTCTTCCACTCTCTCTCTCTCTCTACATCTCTAAATATGTACAATAGATAAATATTGTTTGAAAAGAAACAATTTGTTACTAATTTTTTTTTTCATTCTGACTTCCATTTCTGCAAACCAAGAGCTTTATGTCCTTGTCGAGAACTTTCCAATCTCATTTCATCACCAATCACAAATCTTTTTCGCTTCATTCCAAACAAGGTATATGGAACGGAGGAAGCATTTTCTTCGTTTGAGATGAAGCAAAAAAGAATAATTCGGTTTGTTAAAGGAAGATATCAAAGAAGAAAATGAGAGAGAGAAATGGTGAGCAATGAGCCAAAGTGTAGTGTATTCAACCGGCTGTCCGTGTGTTGTCGTAACAACACGGCCAAGATTCGAAAGCATAAAGCTTGGACGTCTGAGGTTCACATATCCTCACCTGTTGCCTTTTCTCTTCTATTCTTCTCTTAATGCAATCATGTCCGAATTTCCATCTTGTTTTTTCTCCAATTTTAACACCTTGTGATTCCATTTTTTTCGTTTGCATCTCCTCCCCGTTGCCACCATCTTGCGATCTTTCAAACTTCTTTTTTCCTCTCTGTCTTCCACTTTTTCTGCATCCTCCATCTTAAAGAGTTAGAGAAGAGAATTTCAATTCTGCAAACGTCTTTAAGACATATTTTTACTTTTTACAACTTGCTTTACTCATTTCTCCGAATAAAATAGTGTTTTTCTTGTTTTTCTATCACTCTCTCTCCATATCTAAGCTCATGTCCCATCCTGCCCATGTCTGTCCAAAAAACGACTACTTCATGTCGCCAGAAGATGTGATGATGAGGTGTCGATTTGTCATCTGACCAACAGAAGCTTCTTGATATTCATATCTTGAATCTAGTCAATGCTTCTTCATTCTCTTTTCTTTTTTGCTTTCTCTTGCTTCTTCTTCTTGTTGCTAACAGAATTAGTTCATGTGAAGAATCGCATTGGAAACAACAGGCAAATGATAACAAGCTTAAACCATTTAGTAACAGCTGAGATAAATTGGAATGTTTTTCTTCTGAATAATATTCTTCTCTTCGCAAGTATTTTTGAACATCATTTGCTTAAATTGTTGCGATTGAATGGAACATAAATCAGATGCAGAATGGATGCCATGTATTCTGAGCTTCTTCGTTGACAAGACTCATGAGGTGCTTTTTCGATAACAAAATCAACAAACAATAAGATTGTGATGATACGTGGTTTAAGCTAAGGATCTCTGCAGATCTGCATTCTCACCCTCTTCTCCCTCTTTCATTCTCTTCTCTCTCTCTCTACTCATTGCTCCTTTTCTTCATTTCCTTGATGATTTCGATTTCATCGGCTGCTTTTTTAGCTCTCACAACATACTCTCCGCCTATTTTCTTTACTAATTACAAGTCATTTTAATCTCATTATCTGCTTCCTGTTGACCCCCATTGAGGTTTTGAAAAAAAATGAAATATTCAGCTTTCATTAAGCTTTCAATAGATAAATGTCTTGTTTAAGATACATATACTAATGGTCGTTTGATTGGCAAACAAAGACATTTACCTTCATCACATTGTTCCTCTTAATTCCATCTTTTATCTTCAACCAAGCAGCTGCTTCGATAATAACGAATCTCTTTTTCACTAAAAAATGACGTCTCATAAAGTACTTTCTCTTTTATATAATTATATTTTAATTAATTCAATAGATCATCATCTACACTCACATACGCACACTCACACACTCACACACACACGTGTTATAGCTATTCACATTGCTCTGTCTCCTTTCATTTTTCCTGTTTTTCTATCATTTTTTAGTCATATAGATCTGAGATTGAACCCGGAAGTCTCTTCCGGCTTCCGCAATTGCATACCATGTATTTTCCCTTTAAAACTTTCCTTTCATCTATGCATTATCTGAAAGAAAACAATATTTTTTAGTTAACCTTTTACTATTACTATCATTCTCTTTTACATCATTCTCATTCAGCTCTCTTACATTCTCTTTCTCTCTTTGTCTTTCTTAGTTCAAAGAACACGCACAGAAAGCTTCAAACACATCTTCACAGTAGGTGTTGCAACTTGAGATAGAAAGACACAAACCTTAGTGAGATCGCATATGGTTGTTTGTCTCTTCATATAGTTTCATAAGCAACCGCTCATCTCGTTAACGCAAATAGAAATGAACGTGGTGTTATGGAATGAATAGAAGTGTTGAGAGATAGCTGTTGAGCTGCCACGCATTTCACGTGGAATATTTGATTTTGCATAATGATGACGTGTATTGTGTCTTCGTAATAATTCTCAAAAAAAAGAAGCAAAAATAACATTTTCTTATTTAAATATATAAAATGTGTGTGTTCTAGCCAATAGTTTTTCGTTTATTTCAAAACCTTTCATAGTTTATTTGCGATTATTATGTTGGAATCTTGAAATGCTCTGTCCGGATAGCAATTTTCATCAATTTTCGTCTTTTTATTTTCGACAAAATCGTGAAATAAACTTTTTTTTTTGTTATATCCTCCTCCCTTCTTGCCAACAAATAATAATTATGCGAAAAGCTCAAGCATTAGCAGGAAGTTCAATGCTGACATCAGAGTTCATCACAATAACAGCTAAAGCTGTTCCACTCCTCCGTTTTTCCTGATTCAAACGCCTTTTTGCAACTCCTCGAAGTGAACTTCTTCCAGCTGTCCATCCCTCCCTTCACCAATTTCCCTCCTTGCCATCCCTTTTAACTCTTTCATTTACTCTCTCTTTCTTTCTGTTTCTCTCTATTTCCTTTTTTATGATGAATTCTACATTTCAAGAAGGGAAACGTGTGAGAATGAACAATTGCAAATAGGATTTCCATTACATTTCTCCTGAATTTCGACCACCATCTTCTTCATCAGGCATTTTCCTATTTTCTTGTGTTTCTGTCCCTCTCTCCCTCTCTCTCTCTCTCTCTCTCTCTGTCTCTCTCTCTCTCTCTCTCTCTCTCTCTCTCTCTCTCTCTCTCTTTTCTCTCCTTATCCTTCTCTCTTTCTTTTTTTCTCTTTACCTCTTTCTCTCTCTTTATCTTTCTCTTCACCTCTCTCTCTTTTCTACCCTTTCTATTTTTTTCCATTCTGTCGGCATTTTTTTCTTAAGAAAACTTATTTCATTTGCACTCATTGTTTTTTTACTTGTCTTCATTTTGATATCAACTCATTCTCTTTAATAATGATGATAGACGATCAAGTTAACGTCGATCTCATAATACAGACTACACAAGGTTATGTTTCTACTGTTTCAACCATGTAAGTCTCAAGAAAAGTGAACAAGAAAATTGCTCTGACTTGCACGGTTTGTTTTCTTTTCTTGTTCAACTCTAATTCTTCCCTCTTCTACTCATATTTTCTTTTGCTATTTTTCTCTTTGTTACGTAAATCATGAAAGCTGTCAGCACTTTAAATGTTTCGAACATGTTTGACAAGACAAAAGAACATTTTGTAAAGAAAATTGTTACAAATTCTTTTCTAAACAATCACTTTTGTCTCTTGAGCACTATATCTCAGGTGAATAATCGTTTTGCACAAGCAATTTGTAAGATACGTGAAAGTTGTTGTTGTTGTTGCTTTTGCTCAAAAGCTGAATGTCCGATGCTTGGCCTACTAGCATGGCAACATTTTGTTTTCTTCGCCTAAGTTGGCGTTCTTGTTATTCTGCACACCGTGAACACAGTCAACTCTTCGTCTTTTCTTCGTTATTTCAACGTCCTCTCACACCTTTACCAGTTTCTTCTTTCTCTGCTAAATGCACTTTTTTAGTAAACAACTACTGCCTTATGTGTTCCCTGTCTTTCTTCTTTCTTTTTTTTGCTCAATGTTGTTCAGCACATTTAAGACTGCAATCCGACTTTGTTTGTTTCAATGTATGTATTTGTTTACGTATTACTACATTCATATTTTCTTCTTGAGCACTCGGAATCTTTTCTCTTTCAATATTTCCTTTTTCGTTTTCGAAATTTCCTCCTCTCTCTCTCATTCTCCGTTTTTTGGGCTTTCACTTTCCATAATTTTTTTTTGTTTTACGTTTCAACAATTGTTTGTTGAAATGTTTATGCAATCATAATCCTAACTCTCAATTTATTTACATGATGATGTTGTTGATTTTCCTATTTCACATCTTTTCTCTTATATTTCACTCATTTGGACACTTTTAAACATCTTTTTCAAGAAATAATTTGTGAAAAGGACTTACTTGTGTATATGTGTCTGGCATTACACTGAACGAGATTAAATAAGTAGGAAGAGGAATAGTAGGAGCGAAAACTGTCTTCTGCCATTGACTGTTGACTACCTACTCAAAAGCTTATAACATCTCTTTCTTAGTGTTCTCATACCTGAACAGCTGTACTTATCGTACTTGATTCTGCCACAGTGTTGGTTGGATGAATAATACTGATACGGAATATAGCTTTGACTGACGGATGGTCTATACAGGGGAAAAGTTGGCTAGCTGATTGAGGCTGGAAGTGAGTTGTCACTACTGGTCCAGCAGTCATGAAAACTCCTGAAGTACTGTTTGTATTGAGACGTCCATTATATTCCTCAATAGTGAGCAGATATTGTCCAATTTGTAGTACTTGTGTATAACGTATTTCAACATGATCTTTCAAGATTCTGACGCTTCGAATCGAGAAATCGAACATGTCAACTGACGAAATCAGACTGATGTTACGGAAGGCATGTAAATTCTTCGAGTTCAAGGAAATAGTATCAGATGGCTCAGTCAAATTGAAATGCATCAATAAGTTTGCAGTAAAGCCGTCATACTGTTCCATTATGGGAACTTTCACTGTTAATTCATAATTGAGAGGTTGAATATGAGGACTTATCCTAGCCAATTGAAAATTAGGTACCGGTATTTCTTCATCAGCTTTGATTGGAGATGATTCTGGAATCTGTCTTGGAAAACGTCGATGATCTCGTGGATAGCCATTAATATCAGTAGAAGCATCTTCACAGCTCACAACAACGAGAAAAATAAAGAATAGTATACTGTTGATTAAACGCAGTGACATGTTGAATGTCAATTTATGGGTATAGCCAGTAGAAGAAGTTGGAACAACTTCGAATCAAGTAATGTGCCGTATCTGAATAGCAGAGATTCTTTAGTAATAGGATCAAATGACACAAATATGCCCAATACAGACAATTTTGTCTGCGAAAAGTAGAGGTTGAGGAAGCACTCGAGTTACTCTGACACGTGGGGCGGGAAAGCAGTGGCTCGGTCAGCAGTTGTATTTTACTTTGGTCAATCATACTTGTTGAGATGACGACATACAGAGAGTGTAGAGATAATCAGTTCGCTCGTACAGTTTGAGAGAGCTGTGAGAAAGAGGCAGTCAATGAGATATGGGAAGAATATAGCCAAATGGTCTCGAGGCAATGCTTAAAGGTACTGACATTCGCCAATTGTTTGCCAATCGACACGCAAAGTTAGCCGAAAAGAGATAAGTAAATAGGGAATCTTTTAAGGATGAGTTAATTCATTTTCGCAAGAAAATAAAGGAAATAACCGATTTGTGAGTAGGAAGGCTAATTAAAGGTCATGTCCAAACGGAAGGCAATAGCTGTTAAGTGTACTTTGTATTCTTTTCAAACTGTTTCGTTGCGGGACATAAAAAAGTTCTGCGTCTTTATCACTATTGGTGAAAAGGGTAAATGAGTTGCAAAGCTTTTCCTATCTGTCAGCTTAGGGGTTGAATAATACAAATTGTACTTTATATTTCCTTTTAAAGTTATTCCTGATGTTTAAAAGAATGTTGATAATGGAATTACAATGTTGCGTTTACCATACTTCACTTTCTCGGTTCGTTCCGAGATGTTTGTATGCATTTTTTTGAGTTTAAATTTCTAATCTCTCGCCTCTATTCTTCTCTCATCGTTACACTTAGCTGTTTCCTTGTGCGCATAACATAAGAAGAAGTAGAAAGAGGGAATGTAAAGAGAAGAAAAGATTAGAGCCCATCTTTCGTAACTTTTTTTTTTTTGATTATTAAGTATTTAGTTAGATGCAGACTGTTTTATTGACTTGAATTATTTAAGGACTGTCGCTTTACTTAGATATTTTAATGAATTGATTATAAGCAAACGATGAATTGTAAAATCAGAAACACACCATCTTTATTTGATAGTACTTTGAATTACATGCTTCAGTCAGATTATAACTAGAAATTGGAATGAGGACGTTTAGTTAAGATCATATCTTGATGAGAGAGTAAAGAGAAATCAAATAGAAGAGTGTTCATAACAAAAAGGAGTAGAGTATTACTATCAGTATGCTCCAATAGTAAAACAGCTACATATAGTATACTCATATGGCAGTTCTATGAACTGTGATTTCTCTAACTTGTGATATGTTTGTGATCATTTGAAGCTTCAACTTTTTTATTTTTTTTTCAAAACATAAACTCATGAGAGATTCCGTTGTTACCGTCTTTACACACATCACTTCAAAAGTTCAGCTACAACTTTTAGTGTTCTGTACTTTCATGAATTGTTGATTGGAGAATGCTTTCTTATCTTTTGATTTTTTTTTTTGCCTTCTTCCAATCATTTAATGGTTTCATAGTTAATATATTAGACGTATACACATAGATATCTGCTGTAAATATTTTTTTTTCTCTCAAAACGCAATACTGAGCCTTCCAGATTTAATAATAAATATGGAATTGAATATACTTATAATTATAACTCTTAGTTTATAAATAGGCCTTTTTTGAAAGAAACTTCTTACTCAGAGTATAATTATTGTTATCTAGTTCTCTTTATATTGTGGTGAAGCAATGAAAAATAACTGAGATTAATTGTTATACTCGGAATAGTCTTACTCATAAGCAACTTTCTCTTTGCCAATTATATTTATTTTTTTATTTTTCGAACAATTATCTTCTTTTTGAAACTTCTTTGTATGCTTACATGTGTTCCTTCAGCCATATCAAGTCAAGTGCAAGTCATGCTGTGGCAGCCTGTGCTAGTCTGTTCTTCTAGAAGTGCAGCCAGGCAATCAAGCCCAAAATTATGGCATTTAGCTATGGGTTTTTTTTTTCTTTTGAATATATTTTTTCTGTGCGTGTTGAGGGGAAAGGGAGGAGAACTAGAAAAGTACGAGAGGACATGAGACACAGAGAACAAGTCTGCTATAAAAATACTAAATGTTTCTGTTCAATTGACCAGTAAAGTTCAAGTTGATACATGTTGTTCGTTCTAAATCCTTTTTTATTAATAATAGTAGATGTTGAAATATTAGTATAAATAATATAATGTGCATGTTATTAGGTTTGCACATGACTCACGTGCTTGTTGTTTTTGTTGTTAGTGATGTTTCTTCTTCAGCGTTCCTCTTTCGCTCAAAGTTTCAATATTGAAATCATTTGTAAATGATGTTAACACACCCTTTTTCGCTGGAAACACATCTAACTCTATGTTTTCTTTACATTCACACAGAACGGTTGCATTCAACTTTCCTCTCTATATCTTGTTGTAGTTTGACATGTGAAACGCTAAACTTTTTTTCTCACAAACTTCAAATCGTTCATCAACTGAACTAATACGAGTCAATTACGAGATTATTAATATCGAGAATCATGGTTGGTTGGGCTTTTCATTAAGAAAAAATTTTTCCGTCTTGAACCCTGTTGTCATTTAATTTCTACTTTTTGATAGTCTTCGACGAGAAGAGTGTGAAAGAAAGAGAGAAAAAAGAGAAAAAGAAAAGGAAGAAGAGAGAGAGAGAAGAGATACATATGTTGCATTGTGTTTACTCCATTCAATCATTTGAAACAATGTGTTATCATGTGAAGTCTAATGCTTTCAGCTTTTCTTTCTCTTTCGTTTTCAGCAGAAAATTAATGATGTAAGCTGTTAATTATATGTATTTAGGATAATATGTCAACACATAGTTAACATTCATTGTTTTTCTCTCTCTCTCTCTGTCTTTTTTTAATGTAAGAGGGAAATATCGAAATGAAGTAGTTATAACATTATGCAAATGAATAACGAGAGTAACAGCCCGATAATCCATTAGTGTCTGTTAAACGGTCTGTCTCATGTTGTTCTTCTTCTTATTGATAATGAGTAGAATCATTCTGATTTCGCTCAGTATAACTTTTATTTGAATTTTGGCTTTACGGTTGTCGCATTTTCAGGCAACGTTTCATTGTTTCAAATTAGAATGATAAAGTTCGAAAGTAAGATTGTATACAAAAAGATATGTTGTTCCTTTATATATATATATATATGTATGTGCTTATCATGTAATTGTAATGCAATGAGAGAGATGGATTGAGTGAGAGGGAGGAAGAGAGAAAGTGCACTATAGAATGCTTTATTGCTATATAAAATTGATGATAGTTTATACCTGTGTTTCATTCTATCACATTCTCTCTCTATCTATGTTTCTCTCCTTTCTCTTCTTTATTCTCCTTTATTCTACCTTTCTATCTATTCATATCTTTCTCTTTCTCTCTCTCCCTCTCTTCCTCTCTCTCGCTTTTTCTTGCTCTCTCTATCCCTGCGAAGCAACTAGCTTTTACGTCATATATTTCTTCATTTTTTTCTTAAAAAAATCTCCTTTCAGTTTCATCAGTTCGATCTATTCTATCTTCACTCTTTTGATTTTAGAGTAATAACCCCCCTCGCTCCTCCCTTTCTCTATTCCTCTCTTTCTCTCATTCTCTCTTTCTCTTTATTACAAAGTATAAATATTTTATTTAGAAGACCTTTCATGATAAACATTGGTGCTCTGTCATTCCACATTACTCTTTCTCTAGCACATCATCATCTACGCTCTCATCTCCATTATTCATGGATATACATCGGAAGCTGAGATTTTCTTGAAATTATATTTATTTTTTAAATATCTTTATATGACATTTATATCTATTCTTCTTTAATTCCCACTTCTGTTTTCTATCTTTCATACTACTTTCTCAACAATCTCTCACTTATACCTTCATAATTAAACGAGACAAATTTATCTTTTTTTTCATTTCAGATTAATCCACTTTCTTCGTCTTCAGTCTTGGACAGCGAGACTTTGGTCTTTGCTTACAATCTTCAACGAACTCATTGCAACACTTCTTCACCAATTACATAAGTTAGCTTTTCATATACTTTTTCATTTGTCTTTGTCCTTTTATGGCTTTCTCTATGTACAAATGTTCAAATTTGCATTGTATTGTCCTCAAAATTTTAGACTATTATCCACGTAATCTATCCTTCCCATGTTTTCGGCTTCCGCTCTTATCAATTCATTGCATTTTAACCAAAATTGAACTTTCTATTTCCAAACAATCCCAACTTAATCGAAAGCTTTTTCTCTTCCGCTGACGTCTGCGTAAAGCTCAGCTTATTAATACCTGCAGTTCGCTCACCAAATCTCATTATATGAAATATATTTTTCAAATTGCAAATATGTATTTGTATTGATTGGTAGAGATAACTTTTCAATTTGAAATCGAATCTTTTGCGACATCGATGCTTTTCGGAGCCCCTCACGCTTGACGTGAAATTTACGTGAACGCTTTATATACAATTTTGACTCGCCCAGAGCGGTTGCATTCATTCATTCTCTCTTTCTCCCTCGCTGATTACCTCTCTTGCTCTCTCTCTCGCGCTCTTCTATGTCCTATGGTTTCTATTTTGTGGAAGAAAACGACCGTTTCGTCTCATAATGAATCAAAAACTCGCTGTTTGTAAACATTGGCCCATCTGTCAATTCATTCAGCAGATTTTTGATTTCAAATGGAATAGGAAGGGCAGCACAGAGTGTTTCAATAGAAATCTAAGTTCATGAGACTTCGTCCACATATTGTCACAAGTTATTCTTCTAAAGGACATTATTAAGCCTATTAAAATGAATATATTTGTGAATATAAAGAAATAGGGTAGATGAAGCAGAAATTCGCAGAATACTTTATGTAATATTGTGTTATGGACACGTGTATTGATGTAAAGTTCAATCGAAGAACACAAACGAAGAATATCTCAAGGCTAGTAATATTCTGGCCTTCAAATTGTCTTGATCTATTCATTTTCATTTAAATAGTTTGTGTGTCATTTAGACAATCGTGTAAACAGAGTACATCTGTTCTTCTATGAACACAACGTCATTGCCTTGGAATTGGTCAATTTTAATGTTTGAACATAGCACTACTTTATCTCATTCTTAAATCATCTTGCAATCCTTTTTTCTTTTCTTTGTCTCCTTTAACTATTCGGCTTGTGAACCCATGTCCATTTTGGCCTATTTTGCAAAGTTTGAATGAAAACGATAGGCAACATCATTTGCGACGATGTTGGCGTCGACGTCGTCTTCGTCGCCGTCGTCGTCAATGCTGACGATGAAGAAGAAGATGATTTAGCATCAGTTATCGTTCTCTGTCGTTTATATAATGTCTAAAGCAACATCTTTTCGTGTCTGTCTTTATATGTATGTGTTGCACTTTAAAATCTCATCTGTCTATGTATGGTCTGACCTGTTTTGATTACCTTTTCTCTCCTTCTAACTTCTGGTTTCCTTTTTTTTGTTTCCATAGTCTTCATCATTTTCTCGACTTTTTCACCCTTTTCTTCTTATTGTCCGTTTACATAATTATTTTCATTTAATTTCATATTTTATTTGTTTTCATCATTTCCGAATGTTTCATTTTGTCGCATGACAGTTCTCAAAACTTACTGTCTGTAAGACTAGTTGTATCCTTATTGAGGCTGTTGAATGTCCTTCATCGCTTGCTCTTCATAGTCTACTTCATGTCGCTGTCGTCATCGAAATCATAGTTGGGGACTTCATTCACTCTACAACAACGCATTTACCCTAATCATTTTTTCTTTCAAAAAAATGAGGGGAGACCTCCACAACAACAGTTTCTTTTCCTTTCTTCGTCATAATCACGTCCTACTAACTACAAACATCAACATAACAGTAAACATTCGAAGTGAAGACAGTAATGTCCGAATGAGATGAAAGACTTCTATGTTTGGGTCAGAAACATTTGGAGAAAATTTTGCGCAATTTATGAAATCTTTTCCTATTGCATTCCCCATCTTGCTATTTCATCTTTTTGCTATCATTCTGCCTCACGACTCCTGTACAACCCGGGACCTGTTTCAGAATGGACAATGCTTTCGTTTGGTAGCTTTTTAGGAAGAGAGAAATGAACAGCACAAGAGCTGACCTTTCTAGACAATTTTGTTGTGAAAGCTGAAATATTAAAAAAAGATATCGTCAGTTGAACATCTTCAATGAAGTTGTGCAAATGAATTCATTTTGGAAAGTTGGTAAACAACAACAACAACAACAAGTATGTTGACAACGTCGCCGTCAACAACAATAATAACAACAACAACAACAACGACGACTAAACAGACGACAACCACCACTACGACAGCGCCGACAACGAAGATAATGAAGAAGACGCAAATGATGATGGAGAAGATGATCAGTACGGCTTTAGATCTTCGATAAGAAAATCGAAATAAAACAGACTGGATGTTCTTTATCTGGCTGATAAAGTTTTTATAGCTCATAACGATGACATTTGGCTGTCTTCGATACAATATTGCTTCTTACAGAAGACGTTAAAAGGATGTCGTTGTAGCGGTCGTCTTCATCGAGGCCTCAGACTAACTATCTGGGGCTAAGGCGAAGCAAAAACAACAACAACTGTTGTTTACTAGCAAGCAGACATACATACACGTATACAGTCTAAATAGCGATGTATATTAAGAGTGAGGAAGAGAAGCAAAGAATTGGAGAAACAACACCATCACCGTCATCGAATGCTGTGATGCCGTCAACGTTGCTGTCTTCATCGTCGTCAAAAACTGCAACAGCAGAAGCAACAGACTCACAAATTGTTTGTATTTTAACGTCAGAACAGCAACGGATCTAACCTCTCAATCTATATTTATGAAGAAAATTTAATATTGTTCTTATTTCTGGAAGGAGCGCGAAGGAAGTAAGAGGAATACAAGGATAAACTCTTCATACTATTTTGCTGTGTCTTCAGTTCTATTCTTCATTCCAACCTTCCAAACGATTATAACAAGTACAGATTGAAATTGGAAGAGAAAATTTGAAAACAATAAGAACGTTTGAGAGAAGAAGGGGAGCGAAATGACTGTTTACGATTTATGTATATGTTGTCTTTCGAATCCATCCAATCGACTTTGTGACATTCAGCTTTTGCTTAAATTTTCAGTTGCCTGCTTCTGAATTCATTCTTCACCTGTCTTTAATTGTTTCTGAATTTTTATTATTTTTTCTCGCTTTGAATACACTCATGATGAAAGACAACATCTGAAGTTCTCAGCAAAGGACACACAACAATCTCCTAGAAATGAATGAAAAAATGATATTTTTTTCATTTCCAAACAACATGCACCTGTTGCTGGTTCATTCTGCCTCACTATGTCGAAAATTTCAGTTTTTTCTCATTCACTCAGCATCTGCAGAAGATTATTCCTAAATAGTCCATATATGGCTGAGAAGAGGCTGTCAAGTCGATACATACAACGTTCAGAAAGCTTAGACAGACCAATCGCACTTCACGGGCAGTAGGAGCATATCAATACTCATTTTCTTCAGTTTCTCTTGATTTTTCTGATTGTCTGCATCTACTGTCTCATATGCGTTCTATATCATTCTACTTTCGTTTCATTAACGAATTTCTTTATTCGATAGAGGTATTCACATTTTATCCTTTTTTTCGCCCTACTGCCTTGGCCCTTTCATTCGCTTCTTGTGTACAACTCTCTCTACATCTCTCTTTCTCTCATTATTGTCCTCTCCTCTCATCATATATCTCTCTCTTCCTCCTTTTCTCTCGCTGTATCTGTCTGAGACTATGGGTGGATGAATAGCCCTCGTTGCGCTGCCTGCCTGGTGCCTCCGTTAGAAAGTGCAAATGTGGGCGTGGCTTATGGGTGGGAAAGCAAGAGTATAGTCTCTCACTTTCACACACTATTTTGCTTGTTTACATTTATGTGAGAGTAAACAGCGAGTAAACAAGCGCTATCCGCCCCTGTTGGACGGACTACGACGATGCATTTTGAGCGTTGTGTTGGCCGTTTGTGTCTGTTTTCTCCTTTTATATCTTTATGTCTCATAGATAGACAAATAGATGCATACAACATCTATACATCAGCAGCCAATAGCCTCGGCAGCAACATCAACAGACAAAAGCATTATTTTATAACAAAATCTACGGTAATATTTAATTGAATTTGTATTTTTTATTTATTTCCTCCCTCCTATGCGTATTCCTCTTTCTATTTCCCTTTCTCTCTTTCTCTCTATCACTACTCTCTCTCTCTCTCTCTGCCCTTCTTTCTTTCCTTCTCTCTTCTTTCCTCTTTTTCCTTCTCAACCTTGTCTTCTTTCAAATCAAAATATTTTCTTAAACAAATTTTATCATTGTGTTGTGTGCCGGCCGACGTCTTCTTCATTTCATCGTTTTGTTTTGTTTTTTGTCCCTGCACTCTGCAATCTTTTGCATCAATCTATATCTTTTTTCTTTAATTCTATATTAAGAATCTTTGTGTTTTATCCTTCTTTTCACACACACACACACACACAAACATACACATACAATCACGAAGCTCCATCATTTTCACTTCATTTCATTACTTTGTCCTTCTTTTCTTGTGCCTCCTCTTCGTCCTTCTCTTGTTACCCTTCAACGCGTTCTTTCCGTTCTTCTTTCCATTTTATCACTTTCACTTTCTCTTTTATTTTTGTTTTCATTTTATGTTTTTATTTATCACAAAATATTATTAATCGTCTAACCTATTTGTATGTTTGCTTCAAGTCTGTCGTTGCTGCCCAATAGTGCAATTGAATGAGTCTGACAGCACGAGCTGTCATCATCATCGTCTTTCCCATTTTTCTTCCAGTCTCCTCTCTTTCTGTGTCTTTCGAATTATCCTCAACAAGATGGCCTCTGATTTTTTTTTTACTGAATTATTTTCTTACCCATGATGTTCCTCCGTAATAGATAGAGAGAAAAAAAGAGGAACAGAGAAAGAGAGAAGCAGAGTTACCAACGATCGACTCATTTTTTATTTCACCGCATTGCTTCCCCGACAAAATTATCTCCCCTTGCCCTCCCTCATTTGCCTTGTTCTCTTCATTTCATTTTTTTTTGAAATTGTTACTTCATATTCTCAGTAAATTTTTGTCCTGCATTCGCTTGCAAGCGTTCTATTCTCTCGTTCGTTCCCCATTGGAAACTCTAAGGACGGCTTAGAAATGTTGCCTTAAAAGGGCTTTGGCAAAAAAAACCCATTCTGATAGCAAAGAATGAGATTCAAAAAAAAAGCTTACTAATTGGCATGTAAGCAGCGTTATGGAAGTGTGACCCCCTTATATTGACTTATTCCTATACTTCGCCACTTCGCCACAACATCAGAGCTCTGTTTCATTTGATTTCTGGTTGCACTCTTTACCAACCGCCACAATCATCACACATATACACACACACACACATACACACACACATACACTCTTCTACTCCTCCCCATCTCTCCTCTTCTGTTCCAAAAGGCGTGTCTGTCTCTCACTCAGGCTTGCACTTACGTTCAGGGGCTATGTGTATGGCGCTCGTTTAGTTGCTTCCTCGTACTCTCGTTCAACATTTCTCTCTATCTATCTCTCTCTCTTTCTTTTTCTCTCTCTCAATTTCTTTTTCTATATCGATGTTGCCCTGTGTTTTCCCCATCTTTCCCTTCCAACTCCCCCGGTAGTGCTATGCGATGTGTCTCATTCCTTACTATCCCCCTACACCTATCTTTTTGTCCGCTGTTGCTCAACTCATTTGCTACCAAGAAACCGTTCTGTAAATCCAGAAAATGGCTCCTCATTCGACTATTTCCCATTGATACTCTCAAAATTGGCTCAGTGGGCTATTCTTCAGCTTCTGTCCCTTCTCCTCACATTCTTCTATATCTACTGATACAAAGTAGAAGAGAGCTTTCGGTAGCTTCGTGAGCAGAATGCTAGATCTGAAGTCATCTGAACAGAAGAATTCAGTCCATACGTACCGGCCTATGCCGCTCTATCCTAGGCGCCCATCAGCCTCATCAAGCCTACTCCAAGCCCTTTTGCTGGTAAGTGACTTGTCCTCTATATTTCCTTTCTTCTCATATAAACTTCATACATGGCTTACCATTGGTCAATTATTACTTTTCTGTGTTTATTTGTCCTAGCCAAATGTTCTTTGAATGCCTAAAGACTCCCATGCTGCCTGTTGCCGCTTATGAATAAATGTTAGAATCCCAGGATAGGGTGTGATTGCGGAACGGCTGTCTTTGGCTCAGTAATTTTTCTTGCTCCAATAAGTTTCTAGTGCTGAACATTCGTTGTTCACATCAATATAATCGGCCAGTTTGAAAAAGTCAGGCAGCCGTGAAACCTAACAAGCTAGCTCCTCATAAAACTCAACTTATTGGGCATTGATTACATTTTATCTGACTGCTCATTGTCCTTTCAAGGTGTTCATTCTCTGATGCGCCAATTCTGCTTGAAAAACCTTCACATTGAAAATATGATGCAACTTTTTCTGTGCATGTGTGTATGTGCGTGTGTCTGTCTCTGTGTGTGTTGTCAACATGCCATGGGGCTTCAGCTCTGAAATTGTTTGTGTTGTCTTGCCTCTCTTCTTATCCTTTCTCTTTTCCTACTCAGCTCCTCCCCGATGAGGGTCATGTGCACTTGTATTTACTCTAGCCTTCTCTCTCTCTCTCTGTTATATCTTCACTACTTTCTGTGTATTTCTTTACCTCTTGCCCCACCTCTGTCTCTTCTTTTCCTCCCATCGCATCTCCCTTCGTTCCTTTTCTCTTCTAGCTGGTTTGTTCATTTGGCTTTCACAAACGACCGTCGTCATCCGTTAGAGATGAAGCTTTCGTCGTCGACGTCGTCGTCTGCGAAACCAACAAACGTTCTTCCGATGCTCACTCCATCCAGTGTTATTTTGGAAGTGCACATCCAATTTCGTAGTTGGCTAAACGGCAGCTGAAAACTTTATGCAAATCTTTTTATATCCAGCATTGTTTGAAGCTTGTCGAGGCCGAGATGATCCGGTTAGAAGTAGCATGAATCACAGTTTATGGATCTGATTTATTGTATGTATGACGTCTAGATGTTTTTTTTTTCTGGTATACTCTTTAAGATTTTGCAATGCGAGCTCTCCATCTCTAAGTTATGGCTTGATATTCTAGACAGCTATCAACGAATAACGAGAAATGGAAAGTTCAACCATTCAAATCACAATGTATTCTTTTTTCATTGAAGATGCAAACCTATAGTTGTCATACAGCCTGAAGTTCATTTGACAATTTGTTTACAACGTTTCCTGCGCAACATTCAGATTGTTCTCTCCTCCTTCCTCTCTCTCTTTCTCTCTCCCTTTCTAAACTTTCTCCCTCATTTCCTCCTATTTTCTCTTATATTGTTCACATGATGTAGTTTTCCTGTTCTTGACTTTTCCACTTACTTACTTTTCTCTCTTTTTTGTTAGCTTATGTCGCTATCTCTCTCCCCCCCCCAACATGATCATAAACATCATCAGCACATATAACCTTTTTTTGTCGTTTTTCTTCATTAAGTTCTGTCTTGAGATATTCTACCTGCTTTGCGGACATTGAATGTAGTTACATCATGTACAGTCTTGCCTCGTGAACTAACCGTTTTCGTTTAAAGTTTCTATTTCGCCTTTCAAATCGTTTTATTCTAGGAGGAGTCGTCGGGTGCTATGCTCTCGACAACCCAGCGACCGCCATCTGACCCATCCTCAGTTTCTACTGAAGGTCTATTGCTACTAGCATTACAGGTAATATATTCACTAGATGTTTATTTTCAATTGATATTAAATTCAGGAAAGAATTAACAGCCAAAATCGGTCTTTGAATAATATAACAGCACCTGCAAATGGCAATAATGGCGATATCAATCGCTTTTGGCAATCTTTGATGATGGGTCTTCCCCCTATTGTTCCAGGAATAAATAACCCCCTCGATCTCAATTTCATGCAGGTGCGCTATTGAAAGCTTTGAGCTTAGGTTATAGTTTTTAATTTTAAGGGAACTCCAGTTTCACACCCTTTATGGCAACACAACCTATGTGCGTGGCCTAGTTGTAATCAACCATGTGAGAATATTACAGTTTTTCTAGCACATCTAGCTCAAACGCATACGTCTGACGACAGGTTTGTTCATCAGTTTCATTGGTTTTTCATTAATTTTTCCGCGTTCAGAGCAACTGCAGATATGCGATCACAGGTGGAGCTTGTAGACACTTTAGAACACCGTCTTACTAAAGAACGAAATAAGCTACAAGCCATGATGCAACATTTACATATGAAACATTCTCCTGACACAACAACTCCATCTGTTGGAAAAGTGAGCATCATATGAAGTTTAAGTTTCATTCGTAACTACTTCAGGTTGAGACATCATCGCCATCACCCTTGCGAGCACCTAAACAGGAGCCTGCTGTTACATCTGCTCCAGCTACTCCAAATACTCACCCAATTCAGGTAATGAACTGCTTTATTTTTATTTTTATTTTTGCACTTTGCTATTGATTATTTATATGTACTATACTATTTGCTCGGTTAATCTGCTATATTGCTTTTACTGAGCATGTAATATGAGATTTTCTGATATTTATTCTGGGCTTTCTACTCTCATATTCTTCAATTCCATCGTGTTCCTGGGCTCGATTTCGTCATGTCGCTAGTTTTTCGCAATTTAATATATCACATAGCTAATAAGAGGTTGTGTTATTCGACAACAGGCCAGCGACTCTCAGATTGTTGAGCTAGAGGTTGCTTGAGTGATCATATGTGAATGTCCTTGTCGAGTACCTCACAGACAGACGATCCGGTTTATTACTGATGGGTAGATTCATTCGCATCCTGTGATTAGACTTTAGTAATATTGATGGGAAAAATGGAGGCTTTTTGCACTTTTTCCATCATTTTTGTCGTTTCATGGTCGTCTTTCCTCTCTCGCCCTCTCTCCGTTTCAGTTTCGCCACTGTTTTGTTTATCTGCGGCATCGATTGACGTGTAAACAAAACAGGCTCGAGGTCTTGCATCTCTTCCTTGAACTATTTGTCGCGGTGAATATTTTCTTCTCCCTCCTCTTTCTCCTTCTCTCTACTTCCTTTTCTCTTCCTATTTCTCTCTTCCTCCTTCTCTCTTTTTATTGTTCTTCTTCGAAACGTTGATGCAGATGATCTTATTAATGATGCCAAGAATGACGAAGCGGGAAACCTGACCTTAGAGTTTAAACTTACAAACATAGAAAGAGACAGTTCTTATATGGGCTTAGCTTTCTGACATTTTTCCTCAATTTAAGCTCAGAAACGTTCAAAAATAATGTTTGGGGGCCAAATGGACACATTGTGGGGATTGATGAAAGAGATTTTCTATGTTGGATGTTTGCTTTGTCAAATTAGTGCTTCCCATCCATGATTAGAACATTGTGAAAACAAAAGCTCCATGAAGAGAGATAGTGTAATGTTGCTTTATGGAAAAGTTTTTGTTTACATTGATTGATTGATTTGTTTAGTTATATTCAGAGAGGTTTATGAGTGTTTTTAGTTAGCCAATTGCAGCTTTTAGTTGCTTCGATTTTCAACAAACTGTTAAACAAATAGTCAACAGCCAACGAGAGAAAGGGCGTCTCTGGAAAAAGTTGCTGAAGATGGAGAAAGGCAAGCGTTTGCTTGACTGATGGAGATCGAATCGTTGAAACATGAAGAAAGTGGATTGTATGTTGATGGTCTGCTCGGCTGTTTCTCCATGTTGATTCCTTTCAAATTCTGTACGCTCTCAGTAGCTTTTACTCTTTTTTCGAATGAAGTAAAAAAGAGAGAATGCTGTATAGATAGTAGTCCTAGGAATGCCCTTTCAGGAAGAGACTAGATGGCTGCTGCTGCTGGTCTGACAACGACGAAGACCACAGCGTCGTTGTGTTTCTCTCTTTCACTCCGTTTTTCCGTTCTCTATCTGTCCTTCTCTCTTTTCTTTTTCAAAAAGTGTGTGTATGAGAGAAAAGGACAACAGACGCACGCATACATACATACACACATACACAGGCGAATAGATGCCCAGGATGAATGTAAAGAAAGAAATAGAGGGACGCAATTCTCCTTGTGATTGTAAGATTGCTCTTTATCAATTGGCTTACTGCCCCCTTACTGAAAGAGAATGTGTGTGTGTGTATGTGTGTGTGGAGCTCATTGTCTTCTCTTTTTTCTCCCATCAAAGCTATGAAAGAATCAGTTAATTGTGGTGTTCAACGATCTTTCTCGAAACAATGTTGTGATTAGAATTAAGAAAATTGTTCTTGTTCAGACGGGAAATGTACTTTGAGCGGATTGATTATAACCAATATCTTCATAAATAAAGGGATGCAGATAGATTTGGTTCTGGCTTAGAGACAATAGACCTATGAAGCAGTTTGCTTGTGTTTTCAAAAGTCTCTTGCCATCCATCTAAATACACAATAATGACAAACGAACTTTTCGTTTATTCAGTCTTATTGATTTATAAAGCCTATGCTGCAACTTCCTATGGATGATGGTTAAAAAAAGAAAAGAACTCTGATCCCTGATAGACACAAGAGACTCAAAAAGTTGACAAAGCCTCTTGTTCGTCAGTTGTATGCATATTGCAAGCTTTTTACATTTGTTTATTACTTTTGAGTCAAATATATTGATGCACAGCATAATCACAAGTCTCCTCATCCAGGCTGTTCTTTGCTCAGCTTGGATTGTGGTTTTCGTCTTCATCATCCATCTTTCTCATTCTTTTCATCATCATTACGACCAACTGACGCTTGTCCTGATATCATAGTCCGTTAATTCCTGGCTTCGTTATATATTCCTCGAGATTTTGTGTTTCATTTTCGAAAGTAACAAATTAGACGTTGAAATGCCTTGGAAGAATGGAGAAGGTAGTCAAGAGATGCCTCTACGTAGTGCATACGCGTGGCTGGACATGTGATGATTGTGTAAACAATATGAGCTAAATACACTAAGCAATAAAATAAAAGACTGAATAAGAAATTGGAAATTTGATAAATGTTGGAGGGGGGAAAGTCAGATTATAATGATTTCGTGACGAAAAAGGAAACTATGATACTTCAACTCATTATATTCTATTTTCAGATTACTTCAACATTACCGTTGATGCTCGGAGATCAATCTTCCACAACTCCAGCTACCTCAGAAGCATCTCCCAATCCAGACTTAAAGCCTTTTGTACCTCGTCGTAGTCGAATTTCTGATAAAACTGTCTTACCCATCTCAGCTGACATTGCTCGAAATAGGTACGGTAATTATCAATCATTTCATATGTGTTGTTGATCTTTCTTTTTCTTACTTTTTTTCTCTTCCAGAGAATTTTATCGGACGAACGATGTTCGACCACCTTACACATATGCCAGCCTTATCCGTCAGGTTAGAGTTCATGTTCAGAACACTCGACCAATTACTCATTACAGGCAATTATGGAATCTCCAGAATGTCAATTAACTCTCAATGAAATATATACTTGGTTCACGGACACCTTTGCATACTTCCGTCGAAATGCGGCAACCTGGAAGGTGAATTTCTCTTTCTCTATCCCTTACTTTCCTGCAAATGTTTTGATTAGCCCAACCAAAAAAGGCAGAAATGACATTCCTTCAGTTCATTTCTATAGAAATGTTTGCAACTGACAAGGAAAACATTTACCTTTACACCTAAACACACTCATGTTTTCTGGAAAAAAAGTGAAAAAAAGACAGAAGGGACGGGGCATTTCAATAAAAGTCAAAACACAATACCACGTAAACATATTGTTTTTCCGTGTTTTCATGTGTTTTTGAATTTTTTCTGTTCCAACTCCCTTCATCTCAACCCCCACCCTCCTCCTTCTTTACATCAACCAGAAAACATTGTAAAAGCAACATGGTAAGTAGTTTGGCTCATTGACAACCAAGAGTGTTACTTCGGTTGCCTTTTTGTTTCGAAGAATGATTGACGGGGTAGAAAACAAAAAAATTGCGAGAATCCTCTAAAAACTCGAAATTAGGGTAGTGAAAGTATACTGTACTTCCTTTTCTGTTCAAAGAGAGAAATACTGCTATCAGCAGTTTGATGACTTGTTGTTTCATTTGCGTATCAAATTCACGTTGAAACTACCTCCATGTGTTGTTACTCAATCCGGTCCTCGTGATACCTTCACAATCAATATCGAAACAAAAATAATATTTATGTGTAACTTGGAAACAGAAAAAAGAATATTGATCTGTTTCAAGGGGTCAATTGAGAGTTGTATATAGAAATTAAACTTCCTTAAGCTGTTGAAGCTTATTCTTCGCCCTTGTTTATGATCTTGTACTTCTAACTATTTACTTTTGTTTCGGATCATGAAATTGAAAATCATTCCAAAACCTCTGATAAGAAATGAAAGAAGGGTCTTGAGATCATTTTAAATTTAGTGACAAGTGCTCAGGGACTAAACAACTTTACTTTTATACTTTAGAATGCCGTTCGACACAATCTTTCACTCCACAAGTGTTTCCAACGAGTTGAACAAAATGTCAAAGGAGCTGTTTGGACAGTCGATGATAGCGAATTTTATCGACGAAGACCTCAGAGAAGTGCTGCAACTAGAAGTCAGCCTAATACGCCATTACCTGACGAGGTAATAAGGAAAACGCACCTAACTTTATTTAAACTATTTTTTCAGTTAATGGCTCAACGGTTGATTGACCAAACGACTATGTCGTTAATCGAAAGTCGCGATGGCAGTCATCTTAGTGACGGATTGACTCTCGGCGGTGGTTTCGAAGGTGTTTTGTCGTTTTTAGGTGAGTTAGGAGAGTTGGAAATATCCAGGAATTATCCGTTCTCCAGCAAGTACTGGTTTTGAATCTAATCCGTTATGTGTTTTATCTGCAGCTGCCGCAGTGTCTGAGCACTCCTCTAATGCCCCGTCTCCCATCAGTAACAATGTGAAAGAACAGGATGAGAATTTGGAAGACGACGAGATAAGTCAGTTGCTCATCAATAGTCTTCGAATCTCATTTCATTCTAATTTCAGTTCTACAAAAAGAAGAACAGACACCTCCAAATGAAGAGCGATTGATAGTTGATGAACAAACAGCTGTTTCGACCAGCTGCTAACTTTTACTTCCAATTTTGGGCGAAAGAGTTGAAACCATCAAACCGGTGCTACAAGAAAGTCCATGACTTTTCTAACGGGGAAAGCCAACAGAATCAAGAACCTCAACAACTTGTTGACTGTCATCCCTTGAGGTCTTCAAACTCAACGAACAAGTTCCTTTTTCGTTCCTTATATTTTCTGTCTGGCTGACCTCGCTGACTCAAATCAACAAGTTTACGCGTTCCAAACTCTTTCCTTCAAAATTGATACTTTTATCTTTCGTTTTAATTGACTCTTTGAGATCATATGCTTATTTCATCATTATACACGTTATACAGACGGGTCTGAATCTCTTTAGGGCCTTATTCCTAGAATCTTTATATTTTCAACATAAAAGAGAAAGAAATTCTATTTTTTAAAGACAAACCTTGTCTATATAAGAACAATTCTAAATGCGTGCATGTGTATGTGTGTGTGTGTGTATGTGTGTGTTAGTCGATTTGATGCTATACTCGTTTCTTGTGCAGTCTTCTTCAACAAACTTTTTCATAAACTAACTGATACAATTTAATTTGAAAAAAAAAGAGGAAAAAGAGGAAGAGCGTTAGAGAGAGAAAGAGATTCCATCCATATCCCAATGTACTTTCCTCTCTCCTCTCTTTTCTCCCAGCCCACAATTCTCTTACGGTTTATCTTAACATTCTACTGTACTCCAGTTATGATAGCAGATTTGTAGAATTGCGTACCATTATATGAGATGGTAAACAGATATATCAATTTCCTAATAAGTCTTGTCCCTCATCAGCCAGTTATCCAAGTGCTTGCTTAGCCCACAGTTGTCTGCAATGACAATTACACCGTTTTTATAACATCAAACCCCGAAAGTTCAACGTGTGCCTTCATCATTCTAATCCATAGGCCTTTATAATCCATCTCAATTCTCCATCCTTATCCAACCCCAGATTTTGCACAAAATGTGATTTCTTGAGAAAATACTCTATATGGAAAGACATGTCGAACATCCCTTTTATCACTGCAGAACACGACGACGTGTCTAATCATCTAACCAACTAGCTACGGGAATTTTGTGATTTTTTACTTGTGTAGAATTCCGTGTATTGATTTTCTTGTTTTCCTTTTTAAGATATTTATCCAAAAGCATGACCTCTTCAATCCATCTCCATAAAAAGAGTAAATCCTAATTGATTTTCAATCTTATTTTTCCATTTTCTGGCTCTGTCCGTGCTTTAAGTTCGTTGTTTCTTCTCGATTAAGGAGTTATTGTTTATGTATAGTTTTAATTGTAATCAAGTTTTCATTGTCTCCTTCCAATCTGGTATCCATTTTTTTTTGAAAAATTATATATCCATATATACTAATAAGACACCAGAAGTTCTCATATTTTATTAGTCTCTTCGCTAGTTTTCATATCTTCTATATATATTTATAATATATATGTAGACTGTGGTCGGATAGTTCCACTTTGATCTCAACCGGGTTGCTCTTCTGTTATACCTTGTTGGATGCCTTGTTATTCGTAACTTCGTAATGAATTTTTGTCCTTTCAAAGCTTTTCTATTTCGTTCTTTCTTTTCCTTGCAACAAAACACATAAAAAGAAAGACAGACAAACAGAACAAGATGACATAAAACACAACATCGGAAACATCGTTCAAAAAGTGCTCCATATGCAAACAAACAAAGAATTTTCAGTTTTTCAAAAAATATGAGGGAAACACAAAAAATTCTTCGAACATTTTCCTGCTTGTCTTAAGACTCAAGTTGCACTTTCAAAACAATTCTTTGACCATAGCCTTCTCGTTATCGCGAAGCGTTTTTCAATGACTATTCGATAAAGTGCCTTCAAACCCTAAATGGTTGCCATAGGAACAAGCGTGTCGCTGATGATTGGCGATTCCCGTCGGCCGCTCGCGTTGTGGCCTTCTCACAGCTTTTGAATCAAAATCCGGTATATTACCAGGTTTGTCCCCTACATATCTTTGTGAACACATTGCTTTTTTGTTTCCTTAGAAGTTTTTGAGATAGAATGTCGGGCACGATGCCAGCATTAGATGATGACGCTGAGAACAAGGATGAGGAAAGAACTTTGAAGGTTTTTCTAATTCAATTCAAAACCATTTGCAAACTTCCATTTGAATATGAATACTTCAGCCTTCAGATTGTCGTTTGCGGGGATGGATCCTCTGGCAAGACTTCTTTATGTCAAAGGTTTTCCAAAAACGGATTTGACCGAGCATACCATCAGGTAAATATCGATTGGAGATTTTTGGTCTCAGTTACGAGATATTGATTTTTCTCCTTTCAGACAATAGGTTTGGATTTTTACTCTCGACGATTAACACTTCCGGGGGATATAATGGTCCTTCTGCAGGTAGTTGATTAGTTTTTGCACGAATTTAATAAGCATCATGTTAAGGTTTGGGATATTGGAGGGCAGAGCATTGCTGGAGAGCTGATTGATAAGTACATATATGGGGCTCATTGCGCTCTACTTGTCTATGACGTTACTAATACAAAATCGTATGATAACATTCAAGATTGGATATCTGTTATAAGAAGAGTTACAAAACAACAAGAGAAGGTGAGATTGTGCATGCCAAGTTAGTCCTGGTATTATTCGAATGTTACATAATATTTATTTGTATTTGTATTTTGTGTGGGCGGGGAGAGATGATGAATGAGAAGTGCATCTTGCGGATGAAGAAGCTGAATACAGACAATGGACGGGAAGTTAAAAGACTATTCACACAGAGAAACATTATGGGAGAGAAGGAGGTATAAGAGACGAGAAAATGCTTACAAAATATAAATTTGTTGGCCTTGTTTGCTTGAGGAGTGAAGGATATGAAGATGGAGTGAGAGACAGGATGATGCTGAACCACAAGTTCGGATGGGTTAAGAGTAAATCACTGCTGAAGTGTATTTAAGATTTAAAGCTTCTCAAAACACTCGTATGAGGAAGTATTTGGAAGTTTCACACCAAGTCTTTGTTTAACGTTTGTTTTGCGTTTAGAAGATGAAATCAGGAAAGATTGAATTTCAGTCCTCTAAACATCTTTAACAACTTTCGAACTTTGGAAGGTGAAGTAGAAGAAAACGGAAGATAGTAAGTAAAAGAGGATAAGTAGTGAGGGAAGAGGTGAAGAAGGCGAGGAGATACTTATGGATTGCGTCATATGCACTATATTTTCTATTTTCGATAACTTCGCTTGACATACATCGCAAGAAACTTGAGAGGGTTAAATAAAAATAGAAGGGAAACGGCTATAAAGGTAATAGAAATAAAAGGAAAGGCTTTTGTTGTTGACAATGCGTAAACAAAGTAAACAAGTTGTGTTTACGAGGTCGTACTGCGTAAACAAAACACTGGCATTCATTAAACGTCGTCGAGGATAAATTCTGACGATAAGATAAAATACGATATACGGACAAAATAGGGGATAGGAGAGAAAGAATAAGAGAGGGATTAATTATTTTCTGTAAATTTAGTGTTCTCATATCTTTCTTTCTTCAAATTATTTTTCTTCACCTCATTACAAACAGCACGCGTTTCTGCTTAGCTTTCTTTTTGTTTTTTTTATTCGACTTATCTATAAACAACTACATTCTTCTATTTGAATGTACTGAGAGTAGCTCTGTCAACTTTATAGGGACTGGCAAAAGGGGCGCATGGGATTTAGTAGAGTTGCCATACTTTTCAAACTTCATTTCTGTTTTTCTCTCAACATGTTTTTCAGCCACCAGAAATGATTCTTGTCGGAAATAAAGTTGATCTGGAAGCCAAACGAGCTGTGACTATTGATATGCATAACCAGTTGGTGAAAAAATTCGATTTAGATTCAGCCTATACTTCGGCTAAGACAGGAGACTCTGTTCTCTTGACATTTCGGTTAGTTGACATATAAAAATTAGAAAAAATTTGAAACATTCGAAAATGTGATGCCCAGTGTCGAAAACGAATACATCAATTAGTTTAGATGAAATTTAAACAAATATTTTGGGTTAGCTCTTTGTTTATGTGAATAGCTTATTTATCATGGAAAATAGCATTCAAAACAAAAGTGCATTTTCACAAAAGCTTTCCCTCGATATTTTGATCCCTTATAGCGTAAACGCTGTTGATTCAATGTTTATTTCAACGCCTTTTGTTCCTTTTAGCTTTTCGTCAAGATCCGGACGTTTTTGCGGGAAATTCGAATTTTTCCAGCCCTCAAAATTCATTTTTATATGTTATCACGCAAAACCGGTTGGGTGCAGCTGTGGTCCTCTTCAACGTACACCTGAATTATTTTTCTAACTTAGGCAAGCTGCTGCTCGGGTCCTGAAGATTGTACTTTCGAAATCGGATCAAGAGTCAGATATAGTGATAGTTCAGGTAAGAAAAAAAATGGAAATTCACTTCGATCAAGGTCAACACGATGTACGGTATAAGAGAATTTGTTCAACGCCTTGAAAACAAACGAGAGACAAAAATAACTTCTCGAATTCTTTGAAACAATAGCTTTCTGAAATTTAATTTGTATTGTTTTGAAAATATCCATGCAGAATTGAGACTATAACCTGCAGAGTGTTCTTTTGTGCAAAAGAGCAACATCTTACATCTATGATTCTATCGCTTACGAATATTCATTATTTCGTTACGCTTAATATTTAATATTCAAATTCGTTCATTGACATCATTCACTAAAATATTCTGCTTTACACACACAAAACCACGAATGCACGAATCACCATGTCTTCAACTTTTCAGTTTTGAGAGGAAAAATATTTTTGACCTACAGATTAAAGTTATTTGTGCACAATGATCACTTGTTTCAAAATCTATCCGTACAAACAGAACACGATTCATCACATACACGTTTCATAGGTTTTCTCTTCTAAACAGTTCTTTTGAGGGAGAAGTCGCTGCAGAGTCGGGAATGCCAAGGAAATCTCGAATGACAGCAACACAATCAAGTGGAATTTGTTCAGTTCAATAAACAAATCATTTTGAAGATTAGAACATGATACATTAACTTGTGGGTCTCGCTAATAAATATTTTCTATTCCATAACATCTTATTAATACATGCTCAAGAGCGACTAGACAGCAATATGAAGGTCTAGTATAATTAGACTCGATTGGTTCTGCCACGAAAACACCTTTTTGGCACCCCGCCAGCAAGCAGCCTGTTTTAATAAATGCTTGTCTAAACTAACTATATGACATAATTTTGAATTATATTGTTAATATTTTGTTGTATATTATCATTTCCGTTGAACCATCTTATGAAAAATTGAAAAATGTAAGTTTTTTTCGAGCTCATTCAGTTTTCTGTGTGGGATAAGGACGCCTGTCTGTGCTTCTAATCCCTGAAGTCTTTCCTATCCACTCATTCGCTATCTTTCAGTAAAATACTTAAAGGATTCTAATTTGTAACGGGATGAACTTTGGATTTAACTTTGATTGTGATTATGACCAATCAACTTCTAAAAATATTTTCGCCAATCGCACACTTGATTTAAACGAGACATCAGAAAGTGAATCAGATTTAACGAAAGATGAACTCAAACGACTTCTTTATTGTCTCGAATCAGATTTGAAGACCAAAGAAGAAGAGATTACTAAGCTAAAGGTATTAGATTGTTTGATTTTCTACTTATTTCTTCCACTACAGACAGAAAAGAACACAGCTCTATTATATGATGCTAAGTATGGCAAACTTGCCGGTAATGACCCATTCTTGGCATTAAGAAGAGATTCAAAACTCACAGACGAAGTAATATTTTTCATTTTTCTCTGTTAAGCATGTATTACTTAGGTCTTGAATGAAAGACAGATTGGTAGATTGTATGAATCACAACTTGTGCAGCTTGAAAAGCTGATCTCAGCCCAGAAGAAAATGCATCATAAGTCAAGACAGGTTAGTTATCTTTTCCAATACAAACCAGAAAGATATGGATATTTAGATATTAGCCGCGACTGAGAAGAGGCATGCTAAGGCTCTAGAAGAACTAGAAGTTGAAAAAGAGCGTAAAATCCGGTACGCCGAGCTTGGAGACGACGTTCTTGCTTTTCTTGAGAAAGAACGCAATAAATTAACGCAGCAGTTAGATTTCCAAATGAGCCAATTAGCAAACTGCCAAGAAGAGCTTTCAAAATTAGAAACTAGGCTTCAAGCTGAACGCGAGAAGCATAAAATGATGGTATGTTGCTATTTGACCAAGATGTTCCAACAGGCTCTTTTAGGTTTTGTTTTTAATCACGGAACGTAAACAACTCTTGATTAAAGTTCATGAATTGAGATTGAAATCAGAAAACCAGCGTAAGTAATTATCAAACATTCCCTTAATTAGATATTTTTTAGCTCCTGCCCCTGCTGCTCAAAGCCTCCTGCTAGAGGAGTTGAAGAAAGAGGTCATGTTCTTGAGGCAAGAAAGGGAATCATTGTCTAACTCAAACAAAATCTTAAATGTAAGTGTGCACTCTCTTTTCGTTCTTCATGATTTCAATTTTTGAGGCTGAAAATCTCAGTTTGAAAGAAGTTATCAATGAACAAGAGTCGGATCTTACTCAACTGAGAAAAAAATCGGGCAATCCTTCTAAGTTTCACAGTGATCGAGCTTCTTCATCATCCGCTTGTGCCGTATGTCACATCTTGAAGTGTTTCGTACCTCAAATTCTTATTTAGTTACCTCAACTAACAGATGATGGAGGAAATAGAGTAGGATCCGCGATAATCATGACTAATCGTATGGCAGGAAACAGTATATCTCAAAGCGCTATTGCTGCTCCCCGAACACGACTTGCTAACTCAAGCAGCTTTCCTACTGAAAGAAGTCGATTGCCTCGGGCTCCTTCATCTCCTAACAGAACTACTTCGTCCATACCCAGGTAATTGGTTCAGTTTTTTATATGTTTCATCTGGTAATGATAGGAACCCATCTTCGCCAACAAAGAAAGTTCCGGCCATGGGTCTCGGGACCATAAGAACAAGGTTAGCAGCACCCTCGATTGAACAAGAATTCCAAGATCTCGACGCTGCTCTTAAGCAAATCATAAACACTCCTAATATTGTCAATTCTGTTAATGGACCCAACGGTACTATTAGATTTTAACTCTTGTTAGCATAACTGTATCTCTAGTTGCTCCTTCGTCACCAACCAAGCGAAGTAGTAGCTTACCGAGAAGTGAAATTCGGAAAAGTTCAGATATTGTCGCACCGAAAATGGAACACAGACCCACACCGCAAATGGGCAGCCGTATAGGTATTCACCTAAGACGAAGGATTTTTTTTTTAATTTCTTTGTTCTAGTTCCACCTCAAGCAAGGCCTGATACGGGGTTCAAGCTATCAGGAACAATGAAGAAAAACGATGCTCAAACTCTGAGTAAAGGTTTTGGTAAATAACAATCGCCAATTTGAAATATTTGCGATATTATTCAATATTCGAGATCTGATGCATAACTTTCCGCGAGAGGCATGATTACTAATAAGAACTTTATACTTTCAAACTGATCTGTGATGAAAATAGATAACTTAATTTATTTTCGCCTTATTCTTCAAGAATGGGTACTAAACATATTTAATAAATTTTTAATTACATTCTTCAAGCGCTACAGTTGATATAGACTTCCTGAGTAAAGACTTGACTTTGCCTACAATCATGGATGTGGCCTCGGATGTAATTCGGACAGTTTTTTCTTGAGTCAGAAGCGATAAATGAGATCTCCACATTGCCATTCCGTTGTTATCCTTGTCGAAGAGAGGGCACCACTTCATATGGTTCAGCACTGGATCAAATGATTCATTCTCGCTAGAAATAAAAATAATTAATCATGACTAATGAGCACATACCTGAGTGAAGTACAGCGATTACACAGATCACAGGCAAATTGCAATCTGCACTTATTAGGTGATACAACCTGTTTTGTAATACCCCAATTTAATAAAGAACATATCACTCTTTCCCTGGGATAAGAAGAGAAAGACTGGGTCGGAACCTCCATAGCGAAATCAATTTTCTGAAGAAAAAATTAGAATTTGTTTCTGTTTTCCCACACACTAATTGTAAGTCATCATCGTTCGATTTAAGCCTTTTAATCATATCAGCTTTGAGATCTATCAAGTTCTCGAACTTGGAAATTTTAATCGAAGAAGATCTTCTTGGGCACGTGAGTTGATGAGATTCCACAATCCGTCTATTTATATCACTGAATACAAGGTAGTTTTTCTAGATGTTGGAATTTACCGACTAAACCTCACGCATTTTTTATATACATCCACATTCTCTGATATGCTCGGTAGATCAGTACAAATCACTTTCTGACAAGAATCGCATTTGACAGTTTTTCCATTGTTATTTCTCCATCCATGGCTTACTAAATCTTTGGCACATAGATCAGAATGTTTCCATGCTTTATTCTACAGAGAAACAAAATATTAAGAAACTTTTCATTACTCACATCGAATGTTTTAATGAGAGAACAGTATAGCTCTCGATCAGCGTGCTCACGCTTCTCTCTGAAAAGAGAAAAGACTTCAACCTTGAGAACTGAGACAGTTCTTATCACCTTTTGGTTGGAGTGGGAGCAGAATCGGCTATAGAACTAAGACATACTAAAGCTCTTCTTTTCAAATCTCTCAACTCTTCCATTTTCAGAGAAGGGCTATTCTCATTTACAACCTCTTCCATCTTGACTAAAATTAAAAGATCCATTTTAATCAATGAATTTACATCTTTGAAGAACAATAACCAGTGTGAAAAACAAGCCAAGTAATCAGAAAGCATGCATTAATAATATGAAAAAAACTTTGTTTTGAAGTTTTGAACGAGGATTGTGTCAGAGACGCACACTCGTTGACACACCCTAAGTGGTCTTGAACGGACTTTGGCTCACGAGAACATACACTGAAGCACCGCCCTTAGCACTCGTCATTTTATTAGTCGATACTTAATCAATAATGTCAAGTCTTTAGTTTTTTTATATACCTTAAATACCATTTAATTTATGAATACATACACAAACTGATATACTGTTAAAACTGTATAAAAATCTCAGTTGTCACATTGCAGCTTCTCGAGTCTTTATATCGTCAATCATGTCTTGTAGCAGCGATGATCAGTCCGATAAGGAGGTTTAAAGCTTCTAGTTTTTTTTAAAAATATTTACGATAAATTCAGTGTCCACTATGCATGGAGCCATTAGAAATTGATGACGTAGATTTTTATCCTTGTAAATGTGAATATCAGGTGAGAGTTGTGTAGCAAATCTGCTAAATGTCGCAAATAGATTTGTCGTTTCTGTTGGCATCGCCTAAGAACGAATGAAAACGGTTTATGTCCCGCTTGCCGTCAACCTTATCCCGAAGATCCTGTTAATTTCAAGGTTTGTTTGGTTTTTTTATCTTTTTTTCCAGCTGAATTCTTTGAATATATATATGAAATGTGGATTATAAGCATTTATATGGGAAATAAACATTTGAAAACTGCAAACATAATATATATATGAAAAGTTGAACAAAAAAGTTGAAGTAAAAAATTTAGCCTCTTTCCTCCGCTGATTTGCAAAGAATAAAGGACGAGAAAAAGATGAAACAACAAGCTGAGAAACAACGGATATCAGAATCGAGGAAACATCTTGCTAATTATAGAGTTTTACAAAAGGTTCGGCAAAACTTCAATCTGGTGGAAGTAGTAATAACCTTTTAAGAATCTTGTTTATGTTGTTGGTTTATCATCTAAAGTTGCTACTGAAGAAACGTTGAAGAAAGTGGAATATTTTGGAAGATATGGAAGGATCATTAAGGTGAGTTTCAATGACATGTGCGAGAGTACATTATGAGGTTTAAGGTTGTCACAGGAACGTCTGCGTTAATCGGAAATCATATACAACCAAGTCATACTGCATATGTCACGTATAGTCGTATCGAAGAAGCCCTACGAGCAATTCAGGTTTCTATTACTTTTTGAAATCTTCATAATTTTGCTATTTCAAGGCTGTTAACAATGCACAACTTGATGGTAGAACTGTGAAAGCCTCTCTAGGAACTACCAAATATTGTTCTTCATTCTTACGGAGTCAAACCTGCGGAAAGACGGTTAGTAGCTTGATCTTACTGGTTTCTTATGAATATTATAGGACTGTATGTATCTTCATGATATAGCGGAAGATGACATCAGTTTCACAAAAGAAGACATGCATCTCGGCAAACATACTGAATATGAGAAGAAGTAAGAACAGTTTCGTTTACGTTGAATAATTTATACATGTAGGCTAATCGATTTGGTATTGAATAAACGAAATCAGCCTCAAGATAGGAAACCACCCCCGTGAGTTCATTTGCAGTTTTTCGGTACTAAGGTTATTGATATTCAGATCTTGGGCAAATAATAATAAAAGCAATATATGTTGGGACCAGAATGGTAAAGAGTATCAAGAACAGCAACCGAATGGAGTGAGTTCTCTGGATGATTTAAATAATTGATTCGTTATTAATTCAGTTTCAAATATCTGCGGATGATCCGACGCCTTCTGAGGCTGCTGGTCGAACAGAACGACAGAATTCGCAAAATAAAGAGAATCAATATGATTCTGCTGAACCGTCCAACGGCGTTACACGGTTGAAACAAAGTTCCGATTCTCCCAAACAAACGGCTCAAACGCCTCTTCCAGAGACCATAATAGAAGTACGTTTTAACGCTGTAATGTTTTTTTATGATATTCTTTCGCAGACGACAAAAAGAAGTATATCTGGGCCTCCAGTTTCTTCGTCGTTCACATCATCAACTTTAGCTTCTACATCTATTTCTCCATCTTCATCTGTATTACAAAGTACTTCTTCTATACCTAATCCTTCAACAGTCCCGTCATCAATGATTCCTGACTCTAATGATTTTCTTAGTAAATCTCCTGTGGAATTTTTATTATCGAACAAATCTGGTGTTAATAGGTGCAGTGAAGCTTCAAAACCTTAATATGCAACCTTCTTACAGGATGATAGATCTTGCTGAGCATTTCAGCCCTGTGAGGGGAGTGGTACCCGCTCCAGCTCCGAGAGAAGAGGCCCCAGCACCCTTGACTAACTGGCAGAGTTTATTAGGATTGGCTCCTACGCCTGAAATTCCTAGAGAGAGTACTGGAATGAGATTAACACCCCCACCTGGTTTGTTCCATTTTTCTCCTGTGGTTATTTAATTTTTCTTAGGTCTGAATAGTATGTTCTCTGATGACGATTTAGGATTTGATCCATTCAATGAGTCTACTAAAGGATTGGCTAAACTTTTAGAAGAAGAAAGAATAAAACGACCGCAGTAAGATTTTTTCGTTGGAACTTTGTATTCGTTTCTTTTTAGCCCCTCTCAACATTTCCAAGCTAGTCAGCCTTCTTTAATGTCAAGTAATTTATGGGGGAACAGCAGATCTTCAACTAATCACTCAAGACAAGGCTTTCCGCTCGATTTATTCGGCAGCACTCCATTCCAGGTAGAAAAGTCGCGAATTTGTAGCAGTAAACAATTTTCTTTAGGTAAATGGCGGGTACAATGGTTTTCATCAGCCATCATCCATGCATCAATATCATGAACATCACCAACATTCAAACCATCACCACCAATCCGCACATACACCATCTCATCAACCGAACAGTTATGCTCCACCTCCCGGTTTATTACCGTCTCGTGCTCAATCTTTATATTCTCAACCACAGAATATGACAGAATGGCAAGAGGGTTTAAAGGTCAGTCAATTCATATTATTTTTTACAAGCGCAAATTCAGGCTTTATTACCAAATGTAAATGTTCGGTTTGCGTCTGATCTCGAGCAGCAAACACAATCACAATCTTCACAGTCACAGTCACAATTACACAGGTGGCAAGCGCAATTCTCTTCACATTCACAAGTTTTGCCACATTCTGTTCCGCCGCCACCCGGGTTCTCGGTACCAAACCGATAGGATTATGAAAGGGCGTGGGTATGATTATATATCAAGATCGCGACGTTTTGGGTTTTCTGTGCTCTCTATAGTTAGAAGAGCTAATTTTTCTTTTTTTCGGGCCTTGCAGCTTTTTTAATTTATCTTGTTTGCATGGTGGTATGATAGTGTTTATTATTATTTAAATTTCCTAATGCCGACAAGCAATTGAGTCACAACTCGTGATACTTGGTATATGATAATATCTATCGTCTTCCTGGTGCTTGTATGTTTTTACCACTGATGCTTCGGTGATATAGCGAGCAGGCTATGTTATCGTAAGTCTTTATTTATCAGTGAGTCCTGTCCAATTCTTTTCCATCGTCTCATTACATGGTGTTTCTCGCCCTTTCCTTAAAAGCTCGCTAGTCGAGAGTGATTTCAGTCAATCAGAAGGCTGACTTCTGTTTTATTTTTTCCAAATAAAAATTATTCTTATCACTAGTACTCCTTATTGTTGTCTAGTTTTTATCTAATACTGCTTTCAATGTTTGATCCTTGTGTGAAATTTCAGATTTAGGGATGGATAGTTACATATTTTTCGATAGTCAGTTCTCGATAGAAAGTGCGTTGAAGGGTGATTATGATAGTGAGGCTGTTAAAACAGGTACTGTATCATACTCTTTAAGGTCGTGTTTAGTTCACTGTGAATAGGGTTCGCTAATATTGATGAGTTTGAAAAGGATCTAGTTGCAAATTACGGTTCAATAGCTAAAATGGTGATGAATTTGGATGTGCCTGAGAAAAAAACGAGTAAAAAGTTGGAAATTTTCTCTCTTCGGTGTTGACTATTGAGATTTAAGGCAAAAGGCTAGGGAGAGATTAGATCGATTAACAGCCATGTGTGCTTCGCAAAACCGAACACTATTCGAAGAGAAACAGAAGTGCGTCCCTAACGCTGTTAGCTAGAGTATTTTCCCTTTTTAGAAAGCGTAGGAAGCCAAGGCTATATAAAAAGCCCCAGTGTACAGGATATTTCGCCAAACCAACAGCACAGGTAGATTTGATTTACAACCAACAGCCATCAATGGTTATCTGCAGGCGCCGCTAGTCAAATTAAAATTGGAAGATCTCAATAGTAAATAAACCTTTAATGCGTAATTTCACAACATTAAAAAATCTCCAACAATTTTAGAATCTCTCTGATTATTACATCCATTTGCCGAATATTTTGGAATGGAATATCAAGCAACAATTGGTTAGGCACAAATTAGCAAATTTCAAATGAGCAAAAACAAAACAAATAACAAAAAGTTTTGAGATTTAATCTCGGTCAATGATGAATGTGCGTTTTATGAAATTGACCAGCCTTTAAAATTTGAAAGAACATAGAAGTCTTAGTCATTTGAAAAAGGGTACAAAAAAAAACAATTAGAAAAAACTACTGGCTTGTCTTCAGTGATGCGTATATCTCCATCATACCCCTGACTATGTCTTTTTGCTTATTTTGATTGAGCAACATTAGCAGGCGTCCCGACATAGCTTCAGGTAACAATGATCTTATTCCGAGTTGCAGGTTCTCCTCATCAATTTGTTTCAATGCTAATAACGTCGTAACCACTTCGTGCACAACCTTGAACGGACATAATTTTTGCTCAATCATACTCGGTAACTCACCAGGGTACTACCGGCGTCTGACGGGCTGATATGAGGTAAAGAAGGAACTTGAAGAGCAGTTCGCAAAGTTTGCTGCCAACAATCCGAATCCGATTGAGATGCCTGAAAGTCCGGAGAAATATTTCAATGTGCTAATTAGGCTATACCTTTGCCAGAGTCGTCAAAGCCAACTTCTGAGAGGATTGATCATTACCCAAAGCTAATTGAACTGCTGCATTCAGAAGAGCGTTTTTTACAGATGCTGAAACAACTATGAAAATCAATAATCGAACAATGAACAAACGTTGTGCTATTTTCCCCAACATATCATTAGTCGTTGCCGTGCAAAGCAACTGGAGGAAAGCCCTTTGAACATAAACAATATTACGTTGAACAGATTCATCTGAAACAAACCATTATCATATACTTCAAACAAAAAATAATGAAAACCTGAATCTTTTCCAAAAGCCTGAGAATCACTGACAGAGTAACGCGCCGCAGTTGTCAAGATAGCAGCTAAGTCTAAACCTGTTGAGACCAACTTTCCCTTAAATCAACCAGTAAAATGAGTATAAACATCTTGAACGAACCTTGTGCTTAGCGAGCACTTGATGAGCTAGAATGAGAAAATGATTCATACTATCCAAATCGTTTGAAACCTGCAAAGCGAATTGTATTTTATTCTCCAGATGCAGACACAGTTGATCGGTTGCATTCGTTACTTACCGATCCTAATTTAGTGAAAATTATAGGGAGAATATTCAGAACCTCCTCATCTAAACATACAACCAAACGATGAGCAAGTTGACGAACGTTTTCCAGTAAGAAAGAGTTTTCAGGAGTAAGATGCTCCAAGAACAACTAGAGAAAGAGTAATGAAAAGGATGCTTAACTGCGCACTCACATCTAACAATTGAAGATAAATTTCCACACATCCACAAGATTTCATGGTGAAATTTCCATAAAACGCTTTAGACATACGACTTAAAACTCAATACTATCAAAGGAACGTAGATAATAAGCCTACCTGCAATACCCGATAATATTTTTCATAAATTGAGTTATTAAGTTTTCCGACGGCTCGTCATTCCGTGACCTAGCTGATTGCAGTTCAGTAACTGCAGCTTGGAACTTATTCACAAGATTACTAGCCAACTCTCTGATGTAATCAGCCTTAAAGGAAATTTTTCTGATCATTCGGTGAATAGTTTACCTTTTGCTCTGTTGATAAATCACCAAACATTATCAATGTGGCAGTTGCTTCATAAATAAAACATTGGTCATCAGCAGAAAGAAATTCTGACTGAGGCGAAACTGCAAGAAGAGGAGCTAGTCTCCCAATCACCTAGAATATCATATGTATGATGAGCAAACAAAAATAAAGTACCTCACTAACAAGAGAGCTCAATGCTGTTTTATGAGCTTTAACAAAACGGCAAAACAGGTAAACAATTCTAGTTCTGGCCTTTGCTACAGGTATAGCAATTCCTCTAGCATCCAAGAAAGCAGCAGCAATCGGTGGAACACTATTGAGGTGATTAGCCAGTATCCTCTCATATCGACATGCAATCTGAGCATCATTGACAGTTGAAATTATGATCGGCGACTGATACCTCGAAAAACAAGGTGTGAATGACTGGTGAACGACCATCGAGTATTTGACCCGAAAGAAGTATTAATGGAATTTTAACGGCTCTGCCCAACCAACCATCCTTCGCTTGTACGAAATTGCTCTGAAAGAATGATTGTAAATTAATCACATCACGACTGTCTTACCGGTATGAGTTCAGATAGAGCATAAACTAACTGCATAATAGCTTCAAGACGATGAACAGATAAGCTTGAAGGGTTTTTAACAGCATCCGTTACTACCTCTTCTAGTGGTAAAATAATAAGCTGAGGCCTCTGCAAATCGTTTTATGTTCAAAACAATGGAATCAATCCCTCACCTTGCTACCGATAGTGTTCATTATTGATTTCAAATCTTTTCTGTATTCATGAAACTCCAGTTCGTCTTCCCCTTCCCCATCTACCTCCAAATCAGAAGACATGGTATATCTGTTGAGACAAATGTTCACGACTTTTGATAGAAAAGATCCGGACTTCTACAATAGTACGATGAGAAACGTGATAAAACTATTACAAACTTCATCGTCAGAATCCCGGATGAGATGCACATAGTTCCGAAGGGAATCAATTACACAATCACTCAGATCAATATCCTCATTGTCGAAAATTTTGAGGTATGTATCAAGATCGATTTCTAGAGCTTTAATACATCTTCCAGCATCTTCCACAGCTCCTTCACTAGTAAACCTGAAAAGAGAAAGTATATAATTCGTAGAAAGCGAAGAATTTGATGTAATCTCTATCTTAACTAGAAATAGGTCACTCAAACACAGACATCCAAAAGACTAGAACGAGAACATCCATATCATCGTCATGTTACTTCTTTCTTTCCTTCTATATTTTACATTGAACAACTTTATATCAGCTCAACCTAATACTTGGGAATATGCCTGTGAATCAATAATATGCGATCCTCCAAAAAAGTGCATAGTTCAAGACCAGGTAATTAGAACCTAACCTTCACTCAAAGAATTACTTCTAGGTAGCCCAATGCCTTCTTTTGAATGAATTAGGTAGCTCTCCATCACCTCAACTACCTGAAGTAGAAACTCTACAGGTGAGACTACGTACTGATCAAATCGAAATAAATAATTTTAAAGACTACCACCGCGGCTCTGCCTACTTTCCCAAACATTTTTGGCGGTTTGAACGTCCCTAATGGCGGTAAAACTGCTTTGCACTAAGAATATTTGCTTACGATCCCTCCTTTAAGAGACCTCTACTCCCTCTCCATTCGCTCCATTTTTAAACTTATTCTCGCCGGGACCAGCTCTTACTCTCCCAACTCTACCAACACCATCCACAACCACAAGTAAACCAAAAGTGGACATTTGTGAATTGCCTCCTTTAACAGGAAACTGTTCGAAAGCCAGGATAATGTGGTAGAACTTTTCCTTCCGTACGCACATATTAGTAAAGTTCTTTACAGGTATTATGACACCGAAACAGGAAAGTGTGAGCGATTCAGTTACAGCGGGTGTGGAAATGAGAACCGTTTCCCCAGTAAAATTCAATGCGAACAACGATGTCCAGGATTTGGGAAAAGATAAAACTACGAAAACAACTCACTTCGAAGAACAGTCCATTAATACCATGCCAATAGTATTCAACAAACTTCCAGCGCGAGAGATGTCATCTTCGTCGCTATTCTAATAAAAAAATGTATTGAACAACCATAAAATAAATCTCACATATGAAACAGATATGAGTTGGTTTGATCTTAGAACATTCGACAAAGCAAGCACCAAAGAAAGTTTCTTGTCGGCCGCCATTCCTTTTTGCATCAAAGCGGATACAGCAGATACGGCAGCCTAAATTCAAGTAACTTGGATTAAATATATCTTATAAGAACATACATCCGTAGTATCTTTGTTATTCAACCGAGATATAACTTTAGAAACAAAAATATCGTTCGCCACAAGCTCTACATCTATCCAATCCACGTAAGCAGATATAACTTGTAAGCATAGACATTGAACAGATATGTCATTGACTTCGTCCTGAATTTCAAGAATCGGTTCATTTTTTTCAATTTTGTTTACCATAATTTTCCAACAACTTTGGACCATTTGTTTTATACATATCTCTCTCATGAAATCTTTGATCTTAGTATTTCTATCAAAGGTCTGAAACGAGAACGTATATTATGCACTAGACACTTTGTAAACCTGCTTTGGTCGTTGAATATCTCTGTCGACAACTTCAGCGTCAATCGCTAAAAGAGTCTTAAGATAAAAGCTGACAAATGGCACAGATGTTAAACTACGGCAAAGAAATCTTAATAAAAGTTTTTAAGAAAGTTTTGAAGACAAAAAACGTACATATCGTCCATGAAATTCGGCCAACGTTCAGGGAAATCGGCCGCAAAAACAAGTGAAAAAATATGAGCCATCTTATTAATCAAAAACACAGGGAGCTCAACATTAGATGTTATTTTCTAAAAAGTAAAAATAGTGATATATACAATAGAGATAGTTACTTGAATCCAGTGTGACAAAAATCCTCGAACGCATAAAACAGCATCCTCGTTAGCCTGACATGCATATCTGCGGTTCAAGTAATCTTCGACAACTTGTAAAAGAAGGAAATGTTCTTCAACGTTACTGAAGCAGAAGAATTAAACACAGAATTGAAAAGATATTCAAAAAACCTTAAATTGTTTGTGACTATGTTTTCCGCAGATTTCTTCCATCCAAATTCATCATTTTTCAGAGCTTCAAGGTACTGATAGACCTAAATTCTCAAATAATTAGTAGGCTGTCTGTAGTTCGAACTTGAGCTTGTTTTGATGGATCTGTAATGGCAGTGAAATCATGGGAACTGATGTTTCCGTTTATAGCTGTCATTTTGCTAACTAATAACCGCGAGTTTGAAATAAGACTTCTGATTTAACGATGAATATAAGCACATGCTACATGCACACCACGCGTCAAACTCTGAGCATCAATAAAACGCTGAAAAAAAAGAAATTTCAATCATTAACTGATAGCAAGTAATGTATGCCTAAAAGGAAACAACAGCACATGATCATTATGAGGATAGAATACAGTTTAGTTGGAAGTTAGTAACTACCAATAAGAATGATGTAATTTTTTAAGACCATCATTATATAATTAGATGACCATTCAAAAAATAAACACCACCAGAGTGATAAACAATCATGCTTTCACCCTATGAGTAGATAAGAATTAAGCTGAATTAATTTGTTTAAATAAAAACTTAATTTCATAAAGGAAGTCACGACTTGCGAAATGGTTATAGCAGGAGACTAATTGGTCTCGTACGGAAAATACAGAACATTGAGTGTCATTTGAGCATGTTTGATGAAACCACAAGAAATTAATGTTTTTTTTTACTTTAATGTATTTTTCAAAGTTATAACTGTGTTAAGCTTAGATAATTATTTTTAGAATATGGCTAAAAGTTTGAGATCAAAGTTTAAGAGAAAGATTCGTGCTATTGCTCGTGTGAAGAAGGCACCAAAGGAAGCAGAAAGACTTAACAAAGTTATACAATGTAGTGAGGCATATAAGAAAAAAGTAGAAGGTTAGTTTATCCTATTTTTGTATTCTGTCTTATAAATTATGTGTTTATCTATTAATTTTATTAATACAATTTCAGAAGAGAATGTTGAGCTATCCAAACTTGCACCAGGAACAAATGAACCAGTTGATGTTTGAGTTGGCTTTTTTTTCTTTCTAATAAATATGAACATAGATGGACACAAACAGTAAACCAGTAGTTAGTACTTTAAATCTCAAAACTATGAAGACAGCCGATGGAAAATATCCAGTATGGATGAATCAAAAGTAAGTGTGGGTACAATTACTCATTAGTACATTCTTTACAGAGCAAGAAATAAGTATGACAAAGCAGCTAAGAAGGAAAAGAGCAGAAAGAAACAGAAGAATCGCGCACGCCGATAAATTCCACATTCGATGTTCCAAATATCATGTTCATTTCGGTTAATTTTTTGTTGATTTTGTTGTTATGAATATAAAGTTTTTTTTCATTCAAATCTACTTTATGCCCAGCTCTTTAAATTCTTGGAGCGAACCTGTAATTCATGTTCCAGAATTATACTAGTTCCAATGACTTCACGTGGAGCCCCGTGTTACATATCATTTCATTCAAATTCGGACTCATTCTATCTCCACAAGGAAACATAGCTTTCATATAAATGCCGATTACAGATGTAGTTGACGAATATAGAATTCTAAGGATTCAAAAAGATATGTGTGGATGATCCATAGTGTAGGAACATTTGGTTTAATAGCAGATGGTGACTTGAAAAATAACGCAAAGACAGCGTACTGAAATGAGAGAAACCAAACGATTTTAGAAGATTTGTTAAAAGAAGAAACTTGAGGACTGATTCACTTCAATCGGCGGACATGCTTTGGTTGGTATCTTTACTATTCCTATCTGGTGCTTCAAGTTATGTACAAATCCAAGAGAACGGTGTAAAATGTACTGTCTTTGATTTTATTAATTTTTCTCAATGTATTCGTTTCAGTACCGGAGTGCGCAGGTACTGTTTGCGGACCCAATTCTGATTGCGTTGTTATTCGTGAAGGAGATAAAGTTATCACAAGATGCGTAGATAGAAAGGAATTGTAAGTTATCAGTTAGTCTATCTTTGAATTGTTTCATATTCCAGGGTCGTTCTTCGTGCTTTCAGGAATTCCAAATCAACAACAGAAGTACGTTAGTTTTATACTATAAGTATTGAGAAAAGCAAAAGTTATGCACGAAAAATAAATTTCGAGGAATCTACTTTGGTTAAAGTTGTACAGTATGAGAATTTTTGAATTTTTTTCAATCGATTCAGCTGAAATGCTGGGTTCAAGATGGCTTATCATCTCTATTCTCAGACAGCTGTTGCCATTTCGTGCTATATTTTCTTGAACGTACTTGAGGTGAAATTAAAGATTGGGCTCTTATTAAACTATAATTCCCAAAAATTTCGGAATTCATATATACTCAAATTCGTTTCGACTTTAGAATTACAAGCATATTATGTGTTTCATATCGAAAAACTTATTATTTCTGATTGGTTTCCATTTCAGGAAATACAATTGTTACACAAGACACAACAAAATGGTGAGTGGAATCTTTTATTCTGCTTTTTTATTTACAATTTTGAGAAGTCAACATTCTTTGAAAAGAATCAACCCGTTAAATCTTGACTTGAGAATAAGTGAATAGTTTCAGTCTGCAATGATCATGAGCTTAATGCCATGGGAGGACGTATACTACAATGGTTCAATGATGTCCATCTTACTGTTAGAGGAGTTGACAAATCTTTGAAAGGTTAGTTAGTTATATTACAAACATCACTGGTTTCTGGGTTGTCCGCACAGTGCGCGGAAATAAAGTGGGTAGATTAGTACTTGGCTTCCATTCCCATCTTCAGAGCTTCCTGAAAAAAATAGTATGAGGGGTCTAATAACGTTTTTTTCCAATTTATTGGGCAAAATTAAAGAGCATGTAATGAAGGTCACGAATTGTAGCTTGTAGACTACAAAGTTATGTGATTTTGATAATTCGAAGTAGTCATTGTTTGTGAAAGTACTTCCATTCACTAAGTTCTAAAAACGGTTAACCCTACAGCTAACCAGAACCGGCCCCAAATTGATTTTTCTGTTAGAAAAACTGTATAACTCCATGATGCGAAAATCATTTCTATACACTCAAGAGATTGGAGAGTTGAAATAGCTCTACTACGACAAAGTTCTCTTGAGATAGTTCATTAATTCGAACTTTCCAATAACTTTAATCGATTGCAAATTGATGCTCGACAATGATTGTGAATACACGGTCTCTACGGTCATTTTCCGCATCGTTGACGATGTCATAACCCTTGTCCGATAGCGTGAAAGTGGTTGAGATCATCAACCGGATCAATCCCCGTCTTCTTATTCGATTAAAAGTCGGTGAATTCATGTTCAGTGTTGGAAACGGAAAGAAGGATGGTAGAATTGATGCCACCTTCCTACTTAATCAGTGGTTCCAATGCCAAAACAAAATGACTACTGTGTGAACTTAGCGGTTAATTTTATTGTCCTCTTTATCTATCTTATCAAATTTCTCTCACAAACCTGATAAGTTGGTGGAGGAGGCATTGAGTAAGCTGGAGGCAAATTGTCTAATCTCATTCTACGGTCCCCATTCTCTATGGTAGCAACACTTTCCTCGTGATGATGAATAGCAGACGTACGCATTCGACGAATATGTCTGAAAGAGTGTTACATCATTTTGTCAGAGTAGAAACATTTCGTCATAGATTAACTATAACTGCGTTATTTTTTTACGTAAGTTGAATCTTATTGTATAGAAATGCTTCTTGGTCAGAACTCATTTTTTTCATGGTTTTCCTGAGAATAATACTGGAAAATCTTGATTAAATGATTTCCATGATGATGAGATAAACGCAGAAAGGTAGTGCGGGTTTTTATACTTTTGCATTTTCTCAAATGGAAACCGACATGTAATGAAAACAGATCAAAAGGAAAAACCAATAAACAAGGCCAAGTTCTACGACGATAAAATCATTGAGATGAGGTTACTGATGACAAAAAGGCATACCTTCAACGTATTCAAATTGAACGGTGAAACAAAGAAAGGGGTAATGTAGATGGATTATGCGATAGAGAGAGTTTAGGCTAAGGTAAAAAGATGAGAGTGTCAACCTCTAAGATAAATGATCGTGGGAAGGTTTCGTCACCTTCTTTTCCCCTTCTGTGATCAGTAATATTGAGAAAGTTTCAAAAAATGTTGGAGAATAAGATATCAACTTACGTACTGACTATGGGTATTTCTGTAATATTACTTACCTTGCTAATAAGAAGAGAAATATCATGAAGAGGACAGTGGCCGCAAAGCCGTTAGCCATCGATTCTTTGTACATGTTAAGAAGGCGTTGCTTATAGCATGGAAAGCTAAAACAAGGGAAAACATTGTGAGAGAAATTTAAAGAAAAACGGAAGATAACAGAAATAAGAAAAAAGGATTGGTACGATACTTAAGTACCAAAAAAGGAGAAATAGTATAAGAAAAGTGAGAGGATGCGGTCATGAGTCGAGAACTTGCAACTGGATATGTTGTTACAGCTGAAGGGACGGTTCTTTCAAACAGTTCTTTTCGTGACATTTTCTATGTAATCATGAGTGTTACTGCGTGTTAGTGATTCTGTTCGATCACTTCCCTTTCTTTCCGAATATGTTTTCATAGCCGGTTAACATGTTGTCCATCACAAAGACAAAGGGAACTGAGTGAATTCGACCGCTTTTTTAGAGTTTTTAAAAATATGGGGAAAGAATTCTATATATGGTCCATAATTCATACGTTTTCAAATAATAAAGTGGAATGGTCTTTCAAATCGCGGTCGCACAAACTGTGAGAAACATAGAAGACTTCTGTTGAACTATTATGATTGAAAAAAAGAAATGAATTTGGACTTGCCGTACGTGTACTTTTTCTTTGTCTTTCTCTGCCTTCACAGCAAAGAAAAGAATCGAAATCAGAGGTTAACATGACAAACTGCTGACGATAAAGATGAGCTCGTACAAATGAAAACGGCAGATGCGAGTTGGTGGGACTGTCAAGAAATTGACATCAGGAGTGACATGTGTTGAAGCAAGAACAGACAGCGAAATTGAGGAAAAAGACAAGAAGGTCGTGGAAATAATCAATAGGCACGGTAGGCAATTATAGAAAGTAATGAAACAAGACGATGTGGAGGAAGCAAGAAGAGAGGATGGAGAATGACTAGAGGAACCTGTTGTGACATTGTGCGTTGACTATAATTTGGTTAAGATTGGGAGAGATTGAATGACTGAGTTAATTATGTAAGTTCTCTCATGGTAAACCGTGATATAGTTTAGTAGTACCTACATTGAGAAAAACAGAAAAGAAATGAGTTTCAGTATATTACGTTAGACAAGCGCAGATGCTCTAAAACCCCTCAGACTATTCAGGGGGCGGAGTTGCATCAGTTCAGGGTCAGTCTGGTATCCCAAACGCAGTTCACTATTCATAACCAAGACCTAAAAAATTGGATTAATACAAAAATTAGGAGAATCTCGAATGAGTTGAGTAGATTCAGAACGGAGTAAGTGGGGGGACATGTTAAGAGGCGCAACCATTTTATTCGCCCGTTCTCAATGAAATACACTTTCGTGTGTGTTTGCTGTGCAACTGTGTTCAAAACAAGTGGACGTTATGTAAATTTGAAGATTCAAGAGAACTATAATTGTATTGCGAGAAGGTAGCATTTTGAAGTTTAATGACTGAGTTCTGGTTATCAATGCCTTTTTTGCGTCAGTTGTTTGTATGTGAACATGGCTGTTTTTTGTCCTGTTGAATTTTGTTTTGAACAAACTCGACATTTTCAGAACACACTTTGGCTTGCCGTGACGATGTTGCTTGGATGTTCCTGCAATGGGATGGAGATGACAATGGATATCTTACAAAGGTAACATAACTTCTCTTTTATTCCTGAACCGCCCGTTTACAGCACGAAATTATCCCCATTCTGAAAGGAGGACAGGAGAAATGTATCGAACAATTTTTCGATAGATGTGGTTTGTTCTTTTAAATCACTTTGATATTCATGTTTTGAATGAAGATGATATCAATATCGACAACCAACTCAGCATCGACGAATGGTGTGATTGCTTCAACTTCGCTGACAACCTGCGCCACGAACCTCCGTGCCATAAAGCTAAACACGCTGTTGATCCACATGTTCTTGGTAAGAGCCTAATATTGAAATTGGAATAACAAATTTCTCATGAACTCTTATCTTGAAACTCATCTAGATTTGTTTACACTCACTTCCGCTGTTAGTTTGATGATAACCTCTTAAAGGGATTAGTCGCTAACATGTCACAGAGGGATGCAACGCCGTTTGAATATCGGTGATGAGATAAACTCAAGAAGTGAATATAATGTGAAAGGAAGAGAGAAGGAAGAGTATGAGGGTGATTAACACATTATTCCATGTCTTCGTATGTTTGACGCTAATTTGTTGTTCTGTTGGATGCTGTTTTCTTGCTCTACATCAGATCAACCCGAAACTGTAGTCATTATCAAAAATTTTTACCTATCAGAGTTGGTTCCCAATAATTTAACGTTCAAAAATTCCAACAGGACAACCAAACATCATAAGCCAGCAGTAAACTGTTTTATCACTTATTTTGATGACTATCAAAGTAATTTGGTAGTGACGGCAGTTTTAAGCGTTAATTCACAAACAATCTAGTAAAATTGGGGAGCAGTCTGTTGAACTTACATAATTTCAGGTGCTTTCCTTCCCCGCTGTGACTTAGAAGGCTACTACCGTCCAGAACAATGCCATGGTGGATCATGCTGGTGCGTTGACAAATATGGAAGAGAATTTGACAAGTCGCGTGTTGAGAAGGGACTCCCTGATTGTGGTCAGTATGGTTTGTTTCGAATTACGCTCTTTTTGATTTATGCAATGTCTCATTTAGGTTCATTAACTGCAGTTGAGAAGGAAGAACTCAGAGCTCGAGTTGAGATGTAACTGAGGAAAACATGATTCTTATATACAATTTATCAGTTTCTTCTTCATACAACAACCATCACAGTAAAGCACCAATGTTAATTATTAACTTCTGCATTTTGAATAAACTTAAGTAAGATTTTTAAATCCCAATTCGAAAGTCCAGAAGACTATACAAGTCTGAGGGCAGTCAGTTAGTACAATATAATATATCATCGGGATAAGGAGAATATTTGAGCATCATTAAAGTTAAAATTTGAAGCCTCTTCTTCGAAAGATCATACCAAAAGCTCTTTTCTTTCTGTAACACTTTGAGTGTATTCGTTATCATCGAGCAAAGCATCCAATCGCTCTTTCTGAACAACAGATGAGCAAAGAAGTCCATCGCTATTCAAAATGCGTAAAAAGAGACCAATGTTGATTAGTAGAAAAGCAGTTCCTCCTCCAAAAGCTATCCATACGTAGAAGCTGAAATGATATCTTGAAGTCGAAAAATTATGAGAAACGGTACCTATGGATATGATGACGGTTGTACCAAGCCCAGCCACACAAGAAAACCTGCACGAGGAAGCGGAAAACCACAAAGCAAGCAATATTCATGTAACTGATTATGTTCGAAAAAGTAATCATAGTAGTTGTGGAGAGTTTACTAATATGCAGGAGAGAACGAGAATGTAAGAAGATTGACGAAACCTTAAATTTAAAAGATAAAGAGAAATTTGGAGATAAACTCACTTCCATGAGCAAAGCCCAATAGGCATAAATCAAGAACTTCCTAGATACAATAGCACTTGTGAGTACAAAAACTGAAGCAGCATGATGGAACAGTAGAACACCCGTCGCGATTGATAATCTAAGAAGTATTGTTAGTATGTACTTCATCCCGTGTTCACTTACTTATCGTAAACAAGAAGATCATATGCATCATATATGAAATACCCAATAGACAAAAGAACGATTTGAGACTCATAGTAGTTATAGTAATAGAGAGGAGAATCAAACATTAGTCGCGTGTTTCGACAAAAATAAACAAACAGAAAGATTCCTGACACCTGAAAAATGGATACTCACACTTCAAAGCTATTTAGAAGAACAAACCGAAGAATGAATCAAGGAAGTAGTGACATTAATGAGTCGTCTTCTTTTGATTCCTTCTTGATATGTGGTCCAGCAATGCATTGTAACCAAAGTGTTTATAGAATACCAAAGCAAAAAATAGCAGAGCAGAGGAATTAAGTTGTCCCAATATAACATTCTGGTGAAATCCGGAATATGGTTTTCAACTCCATCTAAAAGGAAGAGCAAATGTAAGTGAGATTAGATCAGCTGGAGCTCACCGTTTATCCCAAGTTCCGTATGATTGTCAACCGAAAAAATGGCGAACGTATGCTCAGGTGTACTGGTTCCTACCTCGACGGTTTGTGCCATTATTACCTGCAATAGAAAGTACAACTTTAAACTTTAATATGAAATTAAATAATTGAAAAGAATAAGCAGAGGTTAGAAGTGTGCGTTTCTTTCTTCCTGCTATGCGAGCGTGTGGGGTGATCGAAACTTTCGATTGTTGACACCATCACACAAAGCAAAGACTACATGAATCAGTGGAAAATCATGTAACGAACGGAAACAACTCCAAAACTATTTAAGGTTAAAAACAAGACGATGATGGAACCAACACAACGCTTGCATTCTTAAAGTTTTTCGTCTTAATGACGCGAGAAACGCTGCATGACTATAATTCTTCAGAAGATAAAATGGTTATCATATGAGATAAAAAAAAAAACAGGGTTGACTCATCAGTCATTTTATCAAAACTAGAAATGTGCTCTGCGGTGAAAAGTAATACGTGACAGAAACTACGACTTCAATTTGTAGCAGACGCCTCAAATTTTAAATTTTGTTTTGTTTTCAAATTTCGAAAAAAAAGCTTCTTCGTTGCCGCTTAATTTTCTGAAAAATCAGAAGCGATCAATGATGATGAAATTTATTGAGCTTAAAAAATTTTGAAGAGTGTGGTTGCGTTTTTTGCTTTTTCCTCCGCGAGTTCGCGAGCTTAACGAGCGAGAGAGAGTAGAGGGAGAAGTAATGTGGCGGATGTTTTAAAATTTGATTTTAATGGGTATGAACAGGGCTGCTTGGGATAAAATTCTCAATTTCTATTGTAGGGGCAAGATATGAGATGAATCAAAAATAGATGCGGTGTTGGTCTGATCTTTATCGTACCTAGCTTTCGGCTGTCGCTACAAGAATAAGATTGTATCGAACTATTCGATTAGCTATTTCCACTTGGGTGAAATGATGAAAAAATGGATGAGACCAGAGAATATTGTTAGTGGATTGGAACCTCCGGTCTCAGCGCTCATGAGCTCTTCGAAAAGAGGGGGAGGGGGTGTTCGGCGTTGCTAGGTTATGCGTATTTGTTATCGAGTTTTTTTCACAATGAAGCTGTGTGATATGACAGCTTCTCTTAACTGTATTTATTCTCTTAGAAAAAAAGAATGTCAAGTTCTTCCGAGGACGAGTTACCAAAGAAGGTTAGCAAGAAAGAATCTAAAGCTCCTAGGAAAAAAGCGGAAAAGGTAATGATAGCTGATTTTCTCTAATTCATTAAGATTTTTAGCGTCCTCGAAAGGAATCGACATCAGATGATGGTGTGGAAGACGATAGTGCGGTCGTAAAAACTACCCAAATTGATGGCCAGGAGGTGAAATTGAAAATTGAAGTTTAAGTTAGAAAGGGTTTTGAAGGCATTTGAGCTTGCAAATATGAGGTATGTAATGGTTCGTCAATTCAAAGGGAAAACGTATGTTGATATTCGCGAATATTACACAGATAAAGTGAGGTTAAATATTCCGTTCGCTGTATTTATTTAAGCTTACAGGCGTCCGGAAGCATGAAACCGGGAAAGAAGGGAATTAGTATGTCTGTCGAGCAATATGAGAGATTGAAAAACCTTCTTCCGGAGCTCGATAAGCGAATTAAATGAAATTACGTATGATTTGGTAAAATATGCTTGCGTTATGCAAATATTCTGTTGAACTGATAAATTTTTTTTTTTGCAAATATTCAAAGAAAACGAGCGTTTCTTCGCTCAGTATTTATTCCATTCTATACCTCTGAAGTAATAAAATGGCACTAGGTGTTATGAGTAAGGAACGGGGACATAAGCAAATGGAACATTCTTACACAAAAGTTGTTAGTGGTCATAATTTTTTGAGAATACTTTTCTATTCTAGGATATGGGTAGTCCTTTGGGTACGTTGGACCCTTCTCACATTACAAATATGGTGGTCGATCAAGCTGGACTTGGTCTGGACCATCGTCCTTTTGCAACCCCCATTCCTCCCGTACGTTTTATTTTCATTTTTATTAAAGCTCTAAAGAAAAGTTTAGAATCATCGCCCATATCAAGACGGAATATTATTGAGTCCTCGAGATGGTTAGTTTATTAATTCAATTAAAATAATAAGAAGAGACAAAAAAATTAAAGCCTTAGCTATGACGATTTTAAGTGTACGCTAGTGAGCTATGCTAGAATCAGACGCAGAGAGTAAGTGACGTGCGAAGACGCAGAGGCAGTTGTGTACTATGCATCGCAAGCCTAACGCTCATCCAATTTCGAGCATCTTATAATTCCACAGCAGATTAACGTATGTCTTATTGTTTTTATTTATATAGGTATGGACAGCCAACCTCCTGTTAATCAGTCAGGGACGCCAAATTCTTTGCATGGTGCTTCACACATGCAGCATATGCAATCAGGTTTGAATTTATTGGTAATCGTTTTAGCCATTCTCTGTGGTTTCAGGAAGTCCGTCCCTAGGGCAACCTGTGACTCCTAAGCAAATGATGCAGCAACCTCCACTAACACCAGGAGGGCAATATCCTCCTGATTATCAACAACAAATGCATCATCCACAGCAGCAACATATGCACCCACAGCAACAATACCAACAAATCCCGCAGAGTCCTAGTATGTTTTCTAACGTTGATTGCTTTGTTTTCTGTTTCAATTTATTTGATAATACTTCCATTTGGGCGGTGTAATTTTTCCCATTTTGTTCAGACCATGGGATACAAGCACATTTAGCTCAAGGTGGCGTTATGGGAAATGAATCATCTCCAGTGTATCAAAGACAAATGATGCAGCAACAACAAGTATGTTGATAGCTACTGCCTCACTACTTTGATTTTTAAGATGATGCAGGCTGGACCTCAACATAGTCATATGAATCCTATGATGGGTGGCAGCCAACCCATACAATATCCACAATATGCTCAGCAGCCTCAACAACAGGGCCAACCTCCTCAACAACCACCCCCTAATCAAGCTCCACAAGCACCACCGCAAGGACAGACTCCGCAACAGGCTCAGCAGCACCAACAACAATGGGCTCAGCAGCAGCAACAGCATCAAGTAATTTTTTGTGATATCGAATCTGAGCGTAGGTATATGTATATTTAGATGCAACAGCAGCATTATCAAAGACCCCAAATGCTGCCACAAGCACAGGCAGGACAGAGGGTAATGATCCAACGAGTTCCATATCCTCCAGGTTAGTAGATAGTTTTCTTCTTCTCATTTTGTCGGTTGGTATTAATTTGAACTGAAAATTTACTTGACGAGTTTGCAAAAAAGATTTGCAACCGCTCCTCATTGTGACGAATCTAGAAATGAAAGTGCTATTTTCAAGCGTTGTTTGCGTATGTTAGTTTTGAGCCAATTAATATTTACTGTCATATTAAAAACAGTTATGCTTTTTGATTTAATAATTGTTTTGAAGTGAGAAAGTTGATGTATGAGATGGCGATTAGCATGCATACTTTGTATGTCGGCCATGAATACATTATTAGACAGCTTTTGCCATGAAGAGCAATTTCTCGTGCTAGAGTAAAGCTGTAATGTCGCTAATACGTTCTTAGTGTTTTTTACTTTCTTTGCTTATAAAACATTTCTTCACTAATTTCCGTTTTATGACATTCATTATTCAGCATACATGGGAGGGATACCACAACAAGGTGCACCAGCCGGAGCTGCACCTCCGTATCCTGTTAGACCAGCTCCACAAGCGGCTACTCAAATGCAGAGAACCGCTTATCAAGGTGGACAGCAAGCAGCACCACAACCCATGCCTGCATATCCTCAAGGGCATCCCGGATATCAGCAACAACAGTACCAGCCACAGATGTATCAAAGACAACAGGTACTGGTTGTGAAGCATATGTAGAAATAATATAGTTGTAGATTGGACAACCCATGCGACCATATATATCTCCTCAAGGTGCTATAACTCCAAATCATCAAGCAGGTAAGCTCTCCTTGAACTTTTTAAAAGTTTTCCAAATTCTTATATACCTTTGTCTATCTTCATGAAACAAATCACTTATATTGCACTCTACTTACTCGAAAAATTATAGTTTCATGTTTTTTCGTTCTTTCATATTTGGGCTGCCTTTCTATACGCCTCTTTTCCCATTTCTCGTTTCCAATACATAGATTTGTAAGAGCATGTTAATCATGTGGATATAATAAGCTTCAATGAAGTAATAATGGTATATGGAGTATTCATTAGAGGCGTGATTGCTCCCGAAAATGCCAGTGTCTAGTTATCTTGTTCCAATGCCAAGTTATCGGCTTTTAAAGTTTTTGCTATGAGCGACACAGCACATTCTGTTTTATAATAGAACGTTTCTGCTGTTTTTAATCCTCTTTCGGCTAAAATATTAAATTCTTTTGTTTTCATAAGAAGAGTCTTACAAGCAATGCTTATATAATTCGAGTTTTTATATATGTCACTTAGAGCTATATGAGAGATCATCAGCTAAATCCTATGCCAATTTTTGCTTTTGTTTCCCTCCGGAATTGGAAGCTATAATATAATTTTGTTTTTCAAACGCCATTCAATTTCTTGTGTTGTTCGAATGGGAATTGTTTCGTTCATTTTCTCTTTCTTTTTCTCCTTTATCCTATCTCACAACGACTTATTAGAATTCAGATGTGTTCCCATCATAGAGCCATTCTTCTCTCAAATAAAGCATCTCATATGGCAAATTCGGCCACTTCGACATTCGATGCAAGATCGGAACAAGACGAGAAAAGCTTCATTCCTACATCATTTCCTGTGCCTGCAAATGAGAAACAGATTTCTACTTCCAATTGTCCTTTTTCTGATAATAATGTTGCGACGAAACAAGCATATATACTGGCCAATCCAAGAGAACCTGAGGGATCTCCTTCTCTGCCTTATTTTCTCTATGATTCTGACGATTCCATCCAGCTTTTATCACCGGATCGTATAAACGATATGATACGAGAAATGAATCTGAATGGTTCGTATACTTTACGCAAAAGGATCTATCTTTCATATACCCTCTTCATTCTTTGTTTGGAAAGTCATCCAAGTCCCAGCCCCACAGTCGACACAGTGGGTGCTAGACATTTTGCTAAATCGTAAACTACTATTTTGACGAAAATAATGATTAAATTCAAGTCGACATAATTTCCTTCCCAGTATATTTGTATTAGTGTGCGAAAAATGAGTTGAAAACAGATGAAATTTCGTATCTCAAATGACGAAGATTCGTAGATTTCTATGAAAAGATTCTTTCAGCAATTTAGAAGTTAAGTCATTGTTAGTGTAATTAGTGGGCCTGTAATCTAATTTGTAGCTACTCTTCTCATATTTATTTTATAGTTTATGGTGCAGCACCACAACAGCCAACTACGCCACAAGGTGCTCAACCTCCTTTTGCTCCTGGAGGTACGCGTATTCTGTTTAACTTTTCTTACGTGATTGATTTAGGTCCTAGTCGTTTTCCCCAAGCTACTCCTTCGCCTCATGGTCAAGCTGATCTCAGATCGCCTAATCTTATGTCTCCTAACCAGCCTATGCAACCTATGCCTCAGCCTCTACCTCCACAAATGAATAATGGTATGAATCATGCTTTGTTCCGTAAATTTACTGTTATTCGTCTACAGGTCCTATGCGAATGCCTCCGAATGTTCAACCCTCTCCTAGTAGTTTTTATGCTCACGATCCTCAGATAGCAGCCAATAGTATGTTACGCCACAAACTGATGTTTAAAAATAATTTTATTCAGTAAGTCCAGAACTTTGTCTTGCCGGATGCTTGTTTCATATATTGGAGATTGAAAAGTATACAGATAAGGTTTGTGTTTACTCGATTCTCTTAGTAAGAAGTGTTTGCTAGATGGATGGAACAAACTTGGCTCTCGCCATACGTTTGCGTGGTGGTGATGTCGACTTTGGCCCAAAGACTTTCAATGACAAACTTGGCCTCATAACCCATGTTATTGTGGATTCTTTCAACCATCCTGGATGTCAAGGAGTGAGGAAATTCAACGTTTTGATCAATGTTTTACTATCAACAGGCTCTAAGCAAAAGAAAGCGAGTGGTTACCTTACAATGGCTTAGTGATACACTAGCAAAAGGAGCAATGGAAGTCCCAACCCGTCTTGCCCACTTACCGTTTTGCTCTCCAGAGAAACCTTTTCTAGGAAAAGTAATCTATCGTTGAATCGCGAAAGCCTAAGTTTTGTATTGCAGTACATCTCAATATCAGGCTTCGATGAAAGTGAAAGGACATGTTTGAAATGGATGATTGAAGCTTGTGGTGCTAAAATGACTCCTTACCTTTGTAAAGCCAATACAGTTCTGATAGCCAAAGGGTATACTCACAGGCATGTTTTTTAACACTCATTCCTTTTGCAGAATAAATGTTGAGAAGGTTGAAAAAGCAAAGGAGTGGGGTGTTCCTGTTGTAAACTACTTGTGGTTAGCCGATCACTACATGGGCGTCCCTAGAATAGAGATCGAAAATTCGAGATATCTAGTAAGTCATGACCAACCTCTAAATGAAATTACTTTCTCAGAAGTAAGCACTTACCTCTAACTCTAATGTTTAGGCTAGCCAACAATGTGAAGTGACGTTCAGTCCTTATGCGATTGAAAGCATGTATGAGATAGCAAAACAGTTATTAGTTCCCTGGAAAACTCCCTTGATCATTCAAAAAGAGCATTGGAATAGGCATCTTGATATAAAGAAGTTCCTGGATTCCGATTATAACGTTTTCCCTAATAAACGATTGAGGTATGCTTCTTCAAATTGAAACACGGAGATATCTCGTTCTGACTTCAGAATACAGCAGTTGGCCCCGCCAAGTGAGGAGGAAATCGTGAGATTGGAAAAGGAACGCTCAGAAAAAGGAGTATATCCCTCAGTGATTGTTGCGTTCGCTGGCGTTGACGATGATATCAAAGATCAACTGTCCAAAGTATATTGAATTTGTTTGAAAATTGCGATAACACTCATTTTTAGAAACTACGATATCTTGGAGGTAGAGTTGTGGACTCGGTGTCTGAATGCACACATCTAGTCGCTTTGCAAGGAAGCAGATCGGAAAGGTTTTTAGAAGCAATAATTTTGGGTAAAAATATAGTAAACGCCTATTGGATTGTGCACGGGTATGAATGCAAACAATTCATGGGTATGCTTTGATGAATCTTGCTTATATACTTTCCTCAACTTTAGATACTCTGGACTATTTCTTACGAGATGAAGATATGGAGAAGCATCTCGGATACAGCTGTAAGCGTAGTGTAATAAGAGCAAGAACAAGGCCAATTTTTGAGGTTTTGTAGTTGCTTTTATTTTTACAAGTTAAAACTCTTCAGGACTTCACGTTTTATATAACCCCTTCTGTAGTTCCACATCGTTCAATTTTATCCCGTCTTATCAGGTTGGCAGGTGGTAAAGTGGATGAGGAAAGACCGGATCCCGCCAAACTAGGTATTGTTTTCATTAATTATCAGGTTGAATCGATTTTTTATTGCAGTCAAAGCCTTGGAAACCGACACGCCTTTTGTAGTTGTTGGTTGTGAGGCAGATCTCAGAGTTGTTCAATATTTGGTGGATTGCGGTTTCCGTAAGTGACGAGATGCGTCCTTTTCCGAATTATAGTTTTCAGCTATATTCACTTGCGAATTTGTTTTAATGTCGATTTTGCGACAGGAGGTCGAAGCTAATCCCTTGTACAGGGTTAATGTACCTCAAGTCAGGATCCCTCAGATGATTCGGGCCGCTCCTATAATGAAAGCTTCATCCCTCAGTGACACTCCGACAAATCAACCCATTCAGCCACAGCAGCAAAGAGTGAGAACGTAATGCCTGACTTCGAAAGCTCCACTGTTTTATTATAAATTATTTGTCAAAACATCTCCGATTTAAAAAAAAATATAAACATGAAAACATACAGGGTAATAAAAAAACTTTTGTATCATCTACTCGTTTGGGCGAAATGGACTAATAAATAGAAGAACAGCATAAAGATGGTTTCTGTATCACAGAAAAAGAAGAATCGCAGATATAAATTGGGCATTATGCAGAAAAGTGAGGATGAATGTCTTCTAATAGATATTTACAGAAGTAGATGGCAAGAAACTAATTTTAAATTCGAGAACAATATGCGGCAGGAATATAGCCGTTGGAAGTCTCATCTCTGCGTACCCAAACCCATTCGTGATTCCCATCATCGTCTTGCAACTGAACCAAGGAAAATTTTTAGACGTTGTTATTCATTGAAAATCAGACCTGGATCAGCGAAAGAATTTCACCTGCTCTGACCGCTAATTGATTTGGACCAGTAGGATTGAATTCATAATTGACTTTTACTTTTGCTATCTATAACGGGTTTTCTTTTCTAATCTGAAGCTATCGTCGTACCTCGGCTTTATTTCTACCATCTAGAACTCCAAAAGATTCAGCAGGCGGTGCATCATATTGCCCAAGGACACCAGGACCAGGAGTACTATCGTACAGTGCTGCGCTCATTGTGTGTTGCTGTTGTACAGCAGATAAGTTTAATTCATTGCTTGGAGGAATGGAATAAAGAGGTGCTTGATACTGTGACATATTTGGTACGATGTCATAGGATGGTTGGATTTGAGGGCTTATAGCTGGAACTATTCATGAAATGAAAACAAATTGAGAAAATTGAGATACCATTGGAGAAGGGGTTCAAAGTATTCAGTGCGCTAGGCTGCGGGCGAGAAGGAATAATAGGTTGCGGGGATTCACTTCTGAATTTGAAAAAAAATATAAAACATTTCAATAGTAACTCACCTCATCGTAACTTGATTTAACGGTTGATCTTTAATCTGTTCCCAAAATGCAGTGAAGTTATCAACCGGAGGATTTGGTGTTAGTGGAGTAACAGAAGTATTAGGAGTTGGTGGTAAGTGGGTTACTGGTATAGAAGGAAGGTCTAAAATATGGATCATGTACTTACTTAAAACATTTCATCAAACCTTTTGGTGAGTCTTCAAACGAAACAGGAAACAGTGGAGTTGTACTTTGCATAGGGTTGTGCTGAGTGAGATTAGGCAAAGATGGAGTTCGCTGCTGTGGGGTAGCATCCCAAGGAACTGGTGCTTGAGCTTGTGCGAGAATACCCCAATCAACAGGGCGCATGCCATCAAATACAGATACAGGACTGAAAGTTTGGAATTGAAGAGAAGAAAATGAGTAGAGCAGTACTTGTTCATAACAGGAACAGCTTGTACTCTTATCGGTGGGTCAGCTAAGGCATGCATTGATGCAGCTGCTCCGACCGGGGTAGGAACTAATGGAGCTATCGCAGTTGGAATTATAGGTGTAACATTCGGAGCCACAAAATCATCCAAGTCAATCAAATTCGTTACTTGTTGCTTAGGAGGAGTGCTATGAGGCCGCGTTATGAGACTAGCGGAAGATTGCGGTTTGGTGTTGGTGAAGGAGTCTAAAACACAATTGCTTGTATCTGTTTATAATGTTTGGTGATACCTAAACTGCCTATGACAGTAGTATTATACCAAGGAGTGAGAACAGTGCTTGGTAATCGAGCATTGTAATAACCATTATAACAGAACCTTAATATAGCAAGCTTCCTAACCATTGTGAGGTTGCAAACGAACCATACAGAAGCGGTTTCTTTTTTAACAACTAACACCGCATCACCTTCGTTGACGATGAGCATCTTACCGGTTTTCTTACTCTTGTCGAGGACATTGTCGTCTAACGGCCATGCCGTATTACATTTGTAAATGTCAGATTTCCTATTTCTGTGAAAAACGAAAGTTGTCTTCGAACTAATTAATAATTAAGCTACTTTGCTTCTGCTTTTTCCAAAATTGATAACCTTTCTTCAATCGTTTGAGCGCGGAACACTCGTCCACCAAAATCTAGAAAAGTTTCATGAATATTTAAAGATTGAGTAACAAACTGCCTGCAGCTGTAGATGTAGAAGCTACTTTGTTAGTTGCTGGAAGAGCTTCTTCTGGAAAAAAATTCAAACCATCATGGAAAAATGAAAGCAAACCAGCGATGTCGATTGGAATCTCTTCTTTTGCGACAGCAGCTCCTTTAACTCTCATTTTGCGCTCAGCCTATCAAAACAAGATATGTGAACTCTGAAAAGTATGCCTCACCCTGGTGACAATAAATTGCAGCCCCTGCAGTCGATCAGGATCGTAGTATGCGGCAAAGCATGGAATACCATGTACAATTAATCTTTGTAGCTGAAAAAATAAGAATGAGAAGATCATATTAAAGAACCTATAACTTGATATGGATCTGTAGCAGCATCATCTGCATAATCTTTGTACTTAGATTTCAATTGGGTGGTTAAGTGATCGTCCAATTGTCGAACTGTGGTCATTGCATCTTTCAAAACCTGGAAGCCCCTCGTGTGTTACTTCAACAGCAAAATACAAACCTTGAAAAGAACTTCAATGACTTTCGGCAAAGTCTGTTTCACTTGTGCATTCAATGCCTCAAAGTCCAGATTTTTCGAGCTAGCGTTCTGAAAAGACACGATGATGGAGGTTCCACATATCATATCAACATACGGGTTTGTTACTGGATCGAGCAGCTTCCCAATCCATTAACTTATCGTTTCTCTTTTTAATTAACTTTTTGGGGATAGCTCTCAAAGCCTTAACAATTTCGTCCCTAACCCTGTAAGATATTCGATGAAAATCACGAACTAGTCATTCAATATTTCCTCAATTGAAAACAATTAGCAAAACGTACATGGAATTTAACTGCTCGGCGAAATGTTTCACTTCCTCATGAAATGGCTGTACTTGCCTCTCTACGTTGATTCCACCGAGCGATACTTGTTTCTTTCCTTTAATTGATACATTATACGGAAACTCTCAATGATTATCCTTACTCATTTCTATTAAACGTTTTTGGATAAGCTGTTTCGTTTCGAAGAACATCTTCTTCTTATAGATGACTAGCATATAGTTGAACCGTACCAAACTTCTCTCACATGCATCCAATTGTGATACAAGCGAATCAAAATCTACATCTCTTGCCTAAGAGTATGGTACAAATAAGAAGACTTAAGAACCCCTCACCAGCTTCACAACACCTAAAGAAGACCCCATACGATAGGTGAATCTGTTTGATTTCTTTTTGATTGAGTGAACGGTGAACTTCGAAATCATATCCCCAAACGAGGAACTGGATTGCTCTTGGCTATATTTCCTAGCTGAAACAAAAACTTCATCATTTCCGCACAGATGTGGAACCAACTTAATTCTTTCCTACGTTTACTTTCGTTCATCTTTTGACCCAGGGTTGACATCAACTTAACCGCTTCCAAAAGCTTTGGGTGATCAGGATGATGAATGGGAGTATACTGAACGAAGGACATATTGAACGACAATAACGAAACATTCAAAACCTTAGCTATCTCATTTAAAAATAGTGGATATTTGACACATCTTTGAATAGGACGAGACACTGCAGTAGCCGCATCTATTGATGAGGCTCCATTGTTTCTCATTTTGGCAACCAACTCAGATAGTGCGTCTTCCATTTTCGGATCAGAGGTCTTCAACCAAAATTGTTATAGAGTGTTTCTATTATAGAACTCACGGAAGAGCTGACTAGAGCATTAACGTGCTCGATATTCTTGAAGTAGTAACCATATGTTTGCGCGAAGGGTTTGCGTAAATCGAGGAAACAAGATCCAATAGTTTGTTGATCCCATTCTTTGCCTAAAATAGGTGTACGAATACTAGCATGAACTTTCAGTTATACATTGCTCATTGGTTAGTCTCTGAACAAGTCCAGTAGCTAATTGAGTAATCTGAGCATAACCATTTTTCATAATCGCCTTCTGTTTTTGATTGAAGCGCGAGTTACTGTCAACAGCCTATAAGTACTACTTTGGTAAACAATGAAGCGAGCAGGTATGACCTCCGAGAAAGCTTGAACGTCAGTGATAAACTGTAACTCGGATGAGATCAGCTCTTCAAACACTTTGTTTCGTTTCTCCTTCTGCAACTCAGGTGTTAAGTTTTCAATCGGAACAACAGGCTTCTGCGAATCCTAGAAAAAAATTGTTAAGAAAGAAAATTAAGAAAAGAAACTCACTTTACGAGGCATACCGAACATTTCCTCCACTGAAAGCATGGGTTCTTCAGCCGATCCAAAAACGGTATTCTGAAAAAATGATTTAAGACGAAATATTATGACAACGAACTTTTGGAGGCGGTGGACGTGCAGGAGGAGCGCTTTTCTTTTCAGGTTCCAGCCATGTCTCTCCGAAAGTTGCCCATTCATGCTTAGTAGGAGCTAAAGGAAATTTTACCGTCAAAGTAAGAAGAAAAAAAATGAACCTGAAGCTGGGATTGGAGGTTGCTCAATCCGAGTAGACGTTCTCCAATCGGGTACTGCTGTGGGTGGAGTGAAGGACTGATCGTTCAAAGTAGCGAACTAAACACATTAATGAAACACTCCCAGAAGATTAATTTGTTACGCACTGTTTGATCCCCTCCGTAAATCTTGCTGTTTCTATTACCGATTTCATCATCTTCGTCGTCTAAATACATTTCAAGAAAGGCAATCGGTACGATCCCAGAGACTTCTGTGTTTGGATCACGACATTTTACCCAATCTGCATTAACCTAAGAAAAATTCTTTGATTTTGTTGTCCACGAGAAAATAAAAACCATTTCGAGAACGCGGACACTATCCCCCATGTGTATGGAGAGCTCGTCTTTCTGTCGCCCTTCGAAATCGTGTCGAACGATGGCAAAACTTGAAAAAGAAAAATGCTTAGCAACAAATTGAAAATTTTTAATACCCGATCCCATCTCCAGCGGAACTACTTCTTTTATCGGAAATAGTAGAATTATCCCCTTTTAGAGGAACCACAACTTGAACGTATGATTCAGGGAACATCCCCGCTTTTCCACTGAGTGTCCCCTCCAACCAGTCTGAATCAATTCTTCGAGTTAAATGAATTATGTCATCCGCTTGAAAGCTCAGCTCGTTATCAAACTGCCCACTATAATAGGAATATTGAAATAATAATTTCCTTGCAACTATAACTTGAACGGATAAATAGCTCGAGCATATGGCATAACGTCCCCATCTCTGAACCGAACATCATTGGCAAAATCTGTTGTGAAGGACGTTGGTATAGATGTAGTAGGTTGAGAAAGAGCTTGGAATCCTGACAACTGCAATTAATAAGTTCATTAATATTTCTATGAAGGGCAATTCAAAAAACATACCGGTTTCACAAATGTTGCAGGAAAGGTTCCACTTGAACCTAGCCTTTTCCCAGTATCTGTGACAACGCTCCCCCTAAACCATCCTTCTGATTCAACAGATTCGACAACTATAAAGAATTATCAGCTTTTCTATAGTATTCCAAGATGATACCTAATATAGTATACATTTGAAATGAAATATCATCGTCATTCTGTGCATCGAACTGCGCAATAGAACAGTATGCAGACTCTGCTGGGCTTCTTAAGATAGGAGAGTTTAACAATAATCTTGACTATTCAGGAAAACCTCAGAGGATTACTTATTGGAGTAACTAATATTTTGGGTACTCGCCCGGACACTCCTTCCAATGTTTCTATAGTTAACCTGTGCATGACAAAAGTGTTTGCTCATAGAAGTTTCAAAACTTACCAATCATTTTCACTGTCTATAACTTTCACCACCTGGTCTTGAGCAAAAGCTGTATGTGTGACAGGATCCTCAACTCCATTCGACACTCGGACCCAATTGTCTCCCATTAGAAAATAGAAAACTGAAGATACTATTTCTTACATCACGAAGGCAGCAATTCATTATTAAAATATTCATAAGATTTCAGTAACTTTCCATGAATAGAATTATAAATAATCAAAAAAAGAGAACAATATTTACCCCGAGTATAAATTAAAGATTGAATAAATGATTGAACAAGTTAAATGCTGGCATAGAAACTGTTACGCTTCCCAGAAATATTATATTTAAAATCAGTATGAAAGAACATATGGATTATTAAACTATTTAAATAATTAATTGCGTTAAACAAGTTGTTTAAAAACTAATATCATTTTTACCGACCAGCCCCGTTGACGGGAGATAATATCACATTCAATGTCGAAAGGGCATCGATTTTTGTTTGGGCTATGCTGCACGCAAATTACTAAGCATATACTATGATGGAATATAACGGAATATAAATATATGAAACAGCGTATAAATTGGTAAGAAGATGATATAACACAAAAATCAATAGATGGACGCAGAACAAAAAAACAGTTCAAATGACAATTCTATTTGCTTCCTTCTGTTGACTTGATATCCTTAAGTTCAGCATCTTCCTCACTAACAGCCACTGGCTGATGTTTCGAGCTAAATAGAGCACAGAGTTTATGAATATCATTGAACATTGCTCTCCGTACCGATATGGATAGACACTATAGACGAAAACTGCTCCAATTACAAAGGTAGCTCCAACTAAGAAGAATACGGTAGGGCGGAAATCGAACAAGAAGAAGGAAAGAACACAGTTAAGAACTATGGCAAACGAGGTTGCAAATGCCTGAGATGATAATTATCGAGATATTTGAGTTACTGATCTAAGAACCTTCAGAATGTTGTCGGCATACTTGATGACCACTGCAACAACGAGACCTCCGAATGCAGAAATTCCAATAGTTACCCAAACTGCCCAGTCAAAACCAAACATCATATTTGTGAAAACTGAGCATGGATCAACTCCATCTTTGAAAATGACACTATTATCTTTGACCTGGAACTCATGTTTCTTTGATGAATATTTTCTGAATGCTCATACGAAAGCGAAGAGCAAGGCAAAAACGATGGATGGTAGGGCAAGTTGAATGTTCCTGATCCAAATTGAGACATCAGAATCTTTGAGGATCTTTTCGAAATAAATTCCTGCGAAGCCAGAAAGGAAACAAGCAACAAGAACAGCGAGGAATCCTGAAGAAGGTGATATACTTACATCATATCTGCATTGGAAGAAGGAAATTCATAACTACATTCACGTGGCTATGACGAATAACCATAGTAATGGACATTTTCAGAACAAACACTGTTGACCAATTATCGTGTTTCGGAATCAGATAGTCCGATAACGAACGAATGAACGAACGAATGAACTTCCCCGTTTTCTTTCAAGAATACCTACCAACAATAGAATTTTGCTCATCATTAACTTCTCGCTTTGTTCGCGTCTCGGAGAACGATTCCATTCCATCTTTCAATAATGTCTGAAGAAAAAAAGTGATGAATTCATTTCATTTCTACTTTTTCTTACACTCATTGTCATCGAAATTGTTGTTGGTGGAGGAGCTACCGTTGTGAGATTGATAGGAAGATGTGTAGTTTCCAAAGCATTGTTTAGTTTAGCTAAACGCTCACGATCATTGGACATCTTCTGATCCTGGAGAAAACAGAATTTGACGAAGAGATTGTATAGTTGTTTTGTGAAAATATCTCAAAACATACGTATTGTACGATCGCGACTCCAGCAAAAAGGAATAGTAAAGCTCCCCATTGCTGAACAGAAAGTTTACGGTGAAGAACGAGAACCGTGAAGACAGCAGTAGTAAGGATTTTCAATTGATACGTAACCTAAAACACAATCCGATTAAAAAGTGTCATAATCGGGTTTCATTCAATGTTCGTATAGCCACAGAAACTAAAAGAGAAATAATGCTTTACCATATACGTCGCTGCTGGAAGGTTTTCAACAGCTACATACAACAAGAAGTTTTGAATTGTATAAACAACCGCGGGAATCAGAACTTTCAAAGCATCTCTCCAGTGATTAACGAATTGATCATATATGTTCTTCAGACCCCTACAAGAAACATAATTGTATACTGTTTGAAGATGTGAAGACTAACTTGAGAACGCTTCGTTCTTGGCATATTACAAGGAATATACTGGACAGTAACTTGAAGATCTCAGCATAGAATACAGATATAGCCTTCAAGAGGATATGAACATGATCACTAGCACCAGTGTGAACCAACCTTGAGGAACTTCGGTCTATCGCCTGTCATTACAAATCTCATGAACAAAACCAAGGAAGTGTTTTGTAGGACAAGCACAAACAGAGAAGAATATTTGATAATCTTGTCATCTGAAAAAGATGTTAAGTATTAGTAAGAGTAAAAGAAATATACTTTTGTTAGTCGGTGAAGCCATTTCCAGAAGACCAGAAATATCTGAAAACAATCGGAACAATGATGGACGTGATAACGGCAGGATTAATCCCTTCGTCTGTTATGTGTACTGTCACAAACCAGAAATTGTTGTTGGCAGATGGAGAAAAGAGAGACGAGAGGAGAGTAAGGGAGAGAAAATAATCGAAAAAAGAGCAAGTGATCGTTAGAGGCACAGGTTATGAAACTGTAAGTAACATGTAGTCTGGGAATGTGAGAGCATAGAGACAAACTGAGAACTGCACATATGTTGGTGTTAGATAGCGTGCAACGTTAGTACATTGGAATAAATAGTAAACTCGAAAAGAAAACTTAAAATTCATATTCATAAGTAACATTTAAACATATTCGAAAACCTGGCAAGATATTGCTCAACTTATCACAAATTGAACCCAATTATTAGAAGTGAACGAAAAGAAGAAAAAGTTGTTAAAGAAAAGAAATCGCATAACAATAGGAGGAAGAGTAAAGCTTTCATACAACATATAATGAAGCCATCTGTAGGATTGAAAAAGGAGGTGCTACCCAATCAATGAAAGAACGTTGGATCTATACATTATCATAAAGGTTTACAATAAAAGCCAAGAAATGCATCAACAGGAACAGAAGTGTAACAATTGTCTACTCAAAAGATATATTGAACTTTTGAATTGTGATGATCAGATGTTGGTCTACCTTCTATGGGGCGTACCCTTTGTTATTAATAAAATACATGAATAGAAGTTAGTTGCTTTCGATTTAAACGCACACAGTTTTTCTTATTTTTTGTAAATTATACAAAAGGGATTGGGATGAACTATACATGAAGATACTGAAAATCACTAGTAGGGCACCTATACTAAACAAAAGAGAAGGTTGGAAACCAAAGATATAAATTGACCCAATTGTAGAGAGGATAATCGCTACTGAAGTTGCGAAGTTTTTGGCAATATTGTCAGCATATTTAATGCAAACAGCCACTGATAAACCTGAAAATCAAATGTTTTGTTTGATTTAGAGGTTCTCTATTGCTTGAAGCTTGAGAAAAAACAGACCTCCTATGCCGTACCAGAAAACTGTTAACCACACTACCGAGTCGAATCCATAAAGTAATCCGTTTTTTCGAACAATCTCGCCGTCCTAGTTATATGAAAATGCTGACGAAGATCATCAAATATTTACCTGCAGTAAAACGCCAAGAAATGAAGCAGGAACAGCAAAAACTCCCATCTGAATGTTACGCATCCAGAGCGAAACCGGCGCAGCTCCCTTCAAAATCTTCTCGAAATAGATTCCGGCAAATCCTGAGAGACAACAAGCTACTACTACAGCCAGGAAGCCTAAAAAGGTAGGCACTGTAGCTTTGCAATAGAAGAATCTTACCAATAAAAGGCTTCTGATCACCGCTTGAAACATCATTCGTTGTAGACGGTTGTAATTGGACCAACGATACTCCCACAAAGAGTACTGCTAGGGCACACCTTCAAAGTAAAACTTCAAAAATTCATCAACTCAAAAAAAAAAACCATTGACTGCTGGATAGCGATCTTCGTAGAATAATCACCGTGAATATGGCTGCAGTGAAAATCTTTAGCTGCGAAGTGATCTGAATATAGATTATGACACTCCTCTCACTCTCAACTTCAAACCATGAAAGTTGCAGCATCAAGATGAGATGCAGCAACGTAGAACAAATTATTCTGAACTATGTAGATCATGGCCGGTATACAGACCTTCAAAGTATCCCTAGGCTGTCTAACTACTTGATTCACGAGAGCTCTTGCGAACCTATGCATGAGAAAAAAACTTAAAAAAAAACGTTATAGAATGCTCACTTTCGAGGTGTTTCTTCTTTTGCTACTAGACACAAACATATAACAGCTTTTATCACTTCAGTTAAGAAAACTGCTACAGTAGACAAGAACATTTCCTCAACTTCTCTAGCACGTGAATACCTGTTAAGGAGTGAAGATAAAGAGAAAAAAGATCACTTCATTCATTATAAGAGTGACGAAAACTAACCTAATGAGTAAGGTATGAATGCTATTCTGTAAAGTCAACCAAACTAAAATTGCTGTCCTCATGCTTGAATGTCCCGTTTGCTCTCGACCAACTGTAATACGACGGCCCTGTAAAAAATAAATGGTAACAGTAGAGAAGTGTTGTGGAGGAAGAATTTTGAGAAAATGAATACACGAAAATTCAGAAAAGACTGAATAATCTGACTTTGGATCTCGATGGGAAGAGTGTCACAACGAAGAGTACGAGCGATAGCATCGCAGACTTAGCGACAACTAAAGCGATCTAGTTCAAGAAAAGAACTTATGGATATGAAAGATAATATAGCATGCAAGATTTGTTAAGACACAAAAAGCTGATAAGTATAGTTTGTTTTACCTCGATCCTATGTAGTAATGGGGCTTCATCCTTATTAGATGGTGCAGTTGCCATGATCGGGCTGAAAAGATTAAAACATGCAAGACGAACAGGATGAAAACAAAGACGAAGCATAAAGTTATATGTAAGTCTCTAAAACAAGTTGCAGCCATTAGCCAGATCAGCAAGACATCCAACTAAAACGTAAATCGACAAAGAATAAATATGAGTGCCACGAAACACAACGCTACAATTAAGCAGCTGTACAAAGAAGTCAAAGATATGAGTTATTTTAGATGTTTATACCTTATACAAAAGTATCTTTTCACAGAAATTCAATTTCAATTTTCGTATATAGAAACACAGGGGTTCACTCGGGTAGTTCCTACACTCGAATCTATATACTTGACCACTAAATAACCTCTATTCTTGCGGCATATCGGACCGCATTTGCTACCTGAAGCATCAATATACTAGAAGAAAAGTCCAATTTCAAGATACCTCGGCACATTGGACAGGAAGGAAAGCATCCTTGACAATTTGTAAATAAACAGTCACAAATATCTTTATAGTCACACTCATGACACAGTTTACCGTCAGCACCATGTTTCAAAGCTACAGGTTCTGTAAAAGAGTGGTGGAAAATTACCATCGTATTTTATATGTTACTATTTTGTATTGTTGTATCGGTGTCAGAGAAGTCATCATCAGAAATATGAACAACGACAGATTGTAATTCGTCATCGGATTCATCATCTTCTATTATTCTTTTTTTTCTTTTTTTTTCTGCAATTGCTCTGAATGAACAATTAATAATACATTCTTACTGAGTGGCAACTCTTCATCACTCAAACTAATATCATCATCTGTATCTAAGTAGGATCTTCCAGCGGAAAAATCATTCGATATATTTAATCTGGAAGTGGAACTGGTTTTAGGAGTGATATTCCCTGTAATAATACTATGCACGATTCCGAAATACTTTATTTTACCATTAGAGCTGCTGGTTGAGCTGGTCAAACGTCTATTCTGCTTTGACATCAAAAAAATTCACAAATGTTAAATTCTATGGTTCTACAACTACAACCAGTATAAAACTGACTTTAACAGCAAAAAGTGAACAAGTTGTGGACTTTGAAAAATATTTTAATTAACAGGAATAAATAGATATTTCATCGAAACTCATGATAAAAACGTGACCCAAGGTGGTATTATAGGTTGAGGATTTTGTAAATAACTCATGACGACGGCAGAAACGGAGAGCCTTAAATTTCTATGATTAGTAAAACGAAAACGTATACATGAGCTTACATGAAACTACTAAGAATTTGCTTTGTATCGTCAACGTTTCTCGTGTTTGCATAGCTTACACATGAACATATAAGCGCTACCCAAGCAGACCACTTCATCTGAGAATTTCAACAGTTAAAGGTAACAAAACCAAGAACATACTCTGAGCATCAATCCCAACATGGAGAAAATCATACCTAGTACATTCATATACTCAGGAAGGGCATCTTCTCCTGTAGGTGGATTGTTCTGGGGATCAATCGGTTTATATCTGTAATAAAGCAAAATCATAAAACAAACAAGGTAACGGAACAACCTAATGATTTTTGCTTGCTTCCGAGGACAACTGCTCGACTGCATCTGTAATTATGTGAATGTTTAAAATAGTTCACAGTTTATCTATTTAGTATGCACAACCGCTTTACAACTGGGCCAATATCAAAGTGAAAACTACACATTGACGCAAACTTTGTGTATTTGGCGTAAATTCCGTGTAAATCACACGTATTGGCATTTTCTATTTCACATAACTGCTTAATAGTTTTGAAGCAAATTTTTTTCTAAAAAGTTGTAACTTCTGTAAGAAGTCAGCTTCGATCTTTCAAAAAATTGTTCTCGGTTCAGGGAAGGTTGAAATTTACATCTTTGCTCGAAATCTCAGCTTAAATCTTATAGAAATTCTCATATCACTTATCGTACTTTGAAATGGATGACCAATTGGAAGATGGAGAAATATTAGACGATGATGACCATACTACGATGTTAGTATTTTTTACATTTCTTCATTTGTTATTAGTTCTCTCACTTCCTTATCAAAAATCTATCACGTTTTTAAGAGTTCAACCTACCACATCAGAGTCAAAAGAAAGCGAAATAGATAGAATTATTGAGGAAACAAAGGTACATTCCAGCAATTGACTGTTTTTCTCTACTCGAACTACTTTCAAGGCTATTGACGATAAAAGCTCTCCGAATAATAAACATCACCAAATAAGACATGGATCAGCATTCTCTGCAAAGGTAACTTGATGTTTATGTTCAGCCTAAAAAGAAATCTAGCTTGTAATGGAAGACCCTGATTTACGGGCTCTACGTTTAGCAGCTCTTGGAACTTTGGGAAAAACTGTTAAAGATAAAAGCGATAAGTTAAGTAGTCTGGGAATACCTTTCCACACGAGAAAACGACCGCGCGACTCGGACAGTGAGCATTCAATCAAAGTTCTTATAAAAACTTATAATTTTATCCAGCGAGGTTAAGCAAGCACAAAACCTCTTCTTCCAAATCAGTGTCTTCTCGCGACCGTGATAAAATGGATCATCGAAGCTCTAGGGAAAAAGAAGAAAAAGAAAAGGAAAAAGAGAAGGAGAAAGAAAAAGAAAAAGAAAAAGAAAAAGAAAAAGAGAAAGAGAAAGAGAAAGAGAAAGAGAAAGAGAAAGAGAAACAAAAAGAGAAACAAAAAGAAAAAGAAAAAGAGCGGGAGAAAGAGCTTTCCAAATCGTCAAGAAGTATACTAACCGAGAAAAATTGTGAAGGTATGCTCTCATCAAGTTCTGTAGTAGATTTTTCTCACTTAGTGGTTGGAAACAAGGTATCTGATAAAGAAGACCCTAGGTATACTAAAAAATTTTTACGTCAGTTTAAATTTATCCCAGATCTCGTGGCCGAGTTAGTGCTGATATGGTTTTGGGCGAAGAGAATAAAGAAGTTGTTAGTGTGAGTATAATTAGCACCGTACTTACTTATAACTTATTTTTCTCCAGCTAAGAAGATCAAATTCACCTAGTCCTAACATAGAAGACAATTATGACAATGTTGGAATGGATATCGACAGTAACTGTAGTGAGCCTGGTTCGATTCAGCTTCAGTTATAAACCAAGAATTATTTTCACAGACATTAACAGCATTAATGGCGAAGAAGCTCGAAACACATTAGTAGTCGATGCTGTTAGACTTTTTTGAGCTTTCCTATTTATAACTTAATATTTCAGGGTCGGAACAACGGTATAATATATGAGGGGACAGAGGTTTGTTACATATTATTATATGTACCTTTTAACTGTTATGATTGAAGGTAAGAGTTAAACCTCATCCCAGACTTAGTAATGGCTTCAGCCGTGACGAATACAGGTAATACTGAGGGATACTTCAGAATTGTGTTTTGCTTTAAGGATAAAGTATGAAAGCTTAGAAAAATTAGATAAGAGGATTCGTTCACGAGTCGACGATATTGAAGAGGCTCACGAAAGAAGAAACAAAATAATGGTTAGATTATAGTTTTATTTATACATAATTCTTTTTACCTTACAGATGGAGTTAGAGAGCATTTCAAAATCACTCGAAGACTTCAAAAATGACTATATCCAAGCTATTAAGGATAGGGATGGTTTGAGGAAAGAACTATCAGACTATGAAGAACAGAAAATTAAGCTTTTGCTGTTTGGAGAGTAAAAGCTAGCCTGCATTACAGTTTTACGTTTTATGTTTTCTAGGAATGATTTGAAGCCTAAGGAAGAACCTAAAGTTAGCATAGTTCCCACCCCTGAAGAGAATGAGAGTGAACCAATCGTTCCTCCGAAACTCGCTAAGTTGGATACACAGGTTTACATTACATGGACATAAACAAGTCACCTTTTTTTTGTTGCTGAAATTGATTTTTTGCAGAACGAAACTGTAACTATCAATAATATGAGCTCGTCCTCTGTTAACGACGAGGAAAGACTCAGAAAGAACTTATTAGAAAAATTGAAATCTGTACAAGCTGCTAAGGAAAAAGTGAGCAGATCTATAAATGCTTGATTGATGAAAATTTTGTAGGAACGGAAAAGTCCTCCAGCATTAGAAAAAAACGGAATTCTAACTAACACCCGTTCTCCTGGATCATTTGAAAGTGCTGATGAGGAGAACAGTAATAACTCTTCATTCGCAAGCGTGAGAGATTCGGTGGAACCAAGTCTCACTCCCAAAGAGGTGAACTATGGGAATCACAGGTTTTCTCTTGTATTTATCACATAATCTTACATCATCGAATAGTTCGGTGTACCCACCAAGGTTCTTGAATCATCTCGGTCTGAACGAGAGGAACCCTTTAACTATAACTTGTCCATTTGAAATGACTGGGAGATGCAAAGATTATACGTGTACTTAGTGAGATTTAATTACATTTTAAAATTTTATAAAATTTAATACGTTTTCGATGTTTTTAGCGATCATTTGCGAGACGATGAATTGGATGTTAGAGATTTGATACTCATGTTCATTCAATACCGAAATATAGGACAGCCGGGTAGCATGTTTACTATTTTGAAAATTTACGCAATAGAGCTTTTAGATTTACGCAAGAAAATTGATGAAATCCTAGAGAATAAAAAAAGTGATGAGTCAGGTTTTCAATTTTTTGTTCGTTTGCTTCAAGGAAAAACGAGCAGTTATTAACAGTTGCAAATTTGTTAGTTTCCATCCTCGTTCATTTAACTCTTAGAGCGTTTTAGGTTTTAACTCAGATTTTGACTAAATGGTAAGTGATTAGAATTATAGTCCGCTAGTGCTTACTAGAACTTTGTGTCTCATTGTACTCGTTCCTATTAGTTACTAGGCTAGATAGATGCCTCAACATAATCGTACATATCTCAAGAACAGCTGATAAGATGACGGATAGTATTATGGTATATCGCAACATTATTGATTTTACAGCCACATATTGCCATTTTACGTGTTAACTTGTTACGTGTAAGCTTTCAGAGTGATCTATTGTCTAAAAACAGTTTTTTGTGTGTCTTGTGTAGCATGTCTTATTTCCATTTTTGTAAATTGATAAATATTTTATTCCAATCAGCTTCATTTCTGAACACACACATTACATGGAACATAGACATTTCTGGGTCAACACATAATTTGCTACTTGAGATTAGATCTCTAAGGATATATTAGATTGGCGAAATCGTTTTCATAATATTGCTTAGCTTCTAGATTCGAATGTTCATCTTATTCTCAGACATCTCAAACTCTTCTTTATCCCATTTGAACAATGATTTTTATAAAATATCTTTGTAAAATTATACGTTTTTCTGAGAACTCGTGCCATAAATAATCAGCGATGGTTATAAAGGATGGTGGACGTAACTTCAGATGAGCCAGACATGTCTGCCATAAGCTACTCTTTAACTACTTCTTTACCGAGATCATTAGGTATCATGAAGAAGTCTTTGATTTCATCGATAGACTTTCCCTAAAAAATATGAATGTTTAAATAATTAATCTAGTTTGTACCCACCTCGATGAGATTCGCAATCTTTTGAGTGATAATATTAATGAGATTAGGTATTTCTAAGTAGTTGGCTGCCTGAAACAAGGATTGGATCATGTTGTGGCTCATTTGACTTACGTGTAGAAGATCAACCAACTCTTCTTCGCTAAAGCTTAAAAACTCCTTTTCCTCTTCCGATAAAGCAAATCTTTTATAAAGTGTAGGTTCAGGTACTAAAGTTGCATTGGAGTTATTATTCATGAAATCGACCACCTTGAGCAAATAAGTTAAACTGTTCGTAATGCACTCATTCACCTTTTTAAGAGTAGAGGAAGTTAAAGCCGGTAGAGGGATGGAAGTATTCTGGAGATCCAACTCTGTGAGCCTCAAGTTCTAAAAAAGGACTTCAAAAACAGAAATGTGATCACGCTATACCTCCACCATTTGATCTAATGTTATAGAGAGTTTCAGAGATTCTCTACACAATTTGAACTCTTCGTTCTCTTTACTACGTAATGAAATCATGTTGAACTGAAAAAAAAACGCTTTTTAAAAACATAAATGTATAACAAAAATGATATTTAATTACAAAACTTACGTTTACCCGATCAATAAAATGAGATAAGAATGCTCTTCATGTAGTTTCAACCTGCATACTCCAACACTACAAACTGTCGACTACTACATGATTGTCATTGATTTCATTTCGCTACAGAGACTTCTTTCTCATCTATTTATTATATTTCTATGAAGCTATAGGTTTTTCTACTGAGTTCACGCGATAATAAGTATCATCTTCGGGGTTATAGTAGCAATCGAAGTCGGCATCATACACTAATCCAGCAATCTGAATAATCCCATCACCTTCTCCTGATTTGGTCGACGATCTCATTTTCTCGTGCCGAAAGCCAGAAAGTCGATCTTCCCTTAAAGAATTTTATGTTATTAGGTATGAGCTATCTTTACAGTACATATTTGATACAACGTTTTCTCTCATGTTCGTGTCTTTTGGGTAGAAAGAATCATCCTGAAAACGGGCTATACTTAAAAATTTGTGCGCTTTTCTTACTTGCTCCAATTGTCTCACTAAACTTCTTCTTCTTCTCTGTGTGGTGGATGTATTGGAACGGAGTAGAACATCTTCGTCTTCGTCTGATTTGTCTTCAAACTCATGAATGCGAAGCTGGTTCATTTGATTGACAGTTGATTCAAAAGAGTGGCTGAGCTTCAATATAGTTAACAGATTTTTTCATTCAACCTACTCTGAACGAGCAATACTTCGTAACATCGCAAGTTCTTCTGGATCTTCAATAGGAATTAGATTGGCTGTCCCTGTTCTCGAAAAAGCTGGCGTTCTCTTTACTGAAGTATGTTGGTTTACAAATTATACTTTTAGACTTTTTTTATTAAAGAAACATACATGATGATCTGCCAAAAAGAAGTTTTCGGGTAGGGATTGTTGTCGGGTTATCTTCTAAGGACTGTGTGGCACTCCTTGTTTGCGAAAGCCGTATCTCCGGTCCCGCTAGGGCGGACGATATCCGAGCTTGTAATACTCTTGTCACATACTCAGCTGTTATATTAGAATGATTTAATTAGCTAAAAATAAGCTCACGATCTGGAGTCATTGGTTTCTGCTGACCATCCTGTTCTGCAAACTTGTGGGGATACCTGTTATATAAAGAAGTTTGAAGACAGGGAAGATTCTCGATACCTTCTATCATATTTACTAGGTGGAGCGCTTTGGACTCGTGATCTTTCTAGAGATTGTGAAATCTTCGAGCTAGAACTCGAAGCAGAGCTGACTCGTTGCTGGTACATTTCCTGAAAGGAGTACTCGATATTGTTAGGAGAGTCACGGTAATGCACTAAAAATATCTGCATTTCTCACTAAAACAAAAAAAAGATTTCTTGAAGAGCACTTGTATGTAAGTAAAAACGAAGAAGAATGCCTTGTGTTATGAAATTTGAAGCGTTTTCTAAAGCAATTTAGTATATTCCGCTTTCAAATCTCCATGACAACCGAATGTAGCATATGAAGAATGGGTTGAAAGCAACTTTATAAAGCAAGCTTGACAGAATCTAAGTAGTTCAGTGAGAAATTTCGCAACACTACCTTAAGTAAAGTTAAGGGAACTAGGTGGCAAACGTTTTTTTGGTTTGTGGGTTTGAGATTTGAGGGTTTGATGTCTATTCGTCGTATATGATTTTTAACCATTGTGAATTTGTCCTATTTGTATACTACCCATATTACAAGTGCAGAAACATAACGATTTCACTATTTTCTCTTTCATTCCTCGTTTTTGATACGCATCAGTTAACATGTAAGTGATAAAGCATAAAATAGCAAAAACTTCCGGTTTGTTTTGAAATTGAAGATATCGCAAGCATCTAATTCCTGTCATCAAAACGAACCTGTAACATTTGCAGTCAGTATATTTATAAAACGTAGGATATGAACTTTCAAACGAAATTGTCCTTGTGGAGGCCCGTAGTGCTCGTCCCAGACAGCTATTGCCGAGCATCCTTCTGGAGCTGGTATATGATAAACCCCAATGTGATGAAGATACGATACGGGTGTTTTACCGTTCGGCCTAAAGCAGGATTCAATGCGGTCTCGAGATTTTTCAAAGTTACATGTATGTCACATTAATTTGAGCGGTACCTCCTGCTCCAACTATAGAAATTACAGGACGAATTCGAAAAATTGCGTTGTTCGTACATTTAATCTTAATAGATTATCTTGTATCTACATACGCTAGATTGTTTTTTTACTTTCAAGCATTGACTAGTGTTAGTATCATTCGTAACCATCAGAATTGCACTAACTTCTTTATCCAGCCTACCTTCAAAGCTTATCTGAAAAGCACTATTGGTAAACAGGGTGATGAAAACTTCATTCACTGTATCTTTCGGATCTATTGTGAGAAAAGTTGTTTTCGAAGTCATGTACAACCGAATACTTCTCAATTGTTATTACAAATGAAATCAGCAACACAACGAGATTCATTCCATCTCCGTCAAATTTATCATTCATTCAAACAATTCCAAGAAAATTTCTTTCATTTATTACATAGAGTTATTCAAACACAAATCACAGAATTTTATTGGTTATTGCTCATTTTCATATTTTCATTAAACCCTTCATAGAGCAATGCTCGTCTCTGGTGAGTACTTTCCGCAGTCAAATGTGGTGTGTTTTGTCAGTGGGCTTTATTCGAATAGAGTACATAAACAAACATTATTAATTTCAAATAGAATGATGTTCATTAGTCCGTTATCTACTATTTGAATAATTTTTTGAATGATTTATCTGATTATTAACTTACAGAAAATGGATTTTCTCGCAGCTTTCAAAGAGGAGATGAATAAGAAGCGAAAACAAATTGACGATCTTTCAGTAGAGGTGAGAATCTTTCAATTTCATCTCTCAGAACTGTTGTTTTAAGGTCAATGGAGCTAAAGTGTTAAGGGTTGGCGATATTATGGAAAAGAAAGAACAGGAATATTTAGAGAAACAAAAGCAGCATAAGGTCGATGTTGAAACGGTCTGATTATCCTTGTCTTTATTTGCAAAATAGTACTTTTAGACTGAGGAAGAATCTGATTCTACGAAATCTAAGAAAAAAAAAGAGCATGAGTCCACTAACGACACTCCTGAAAATATTAAACCGCTCGCAGAAATCCATAAGCGGTTGCGATCGCGTGGTCAACCTATTCTATTATTTGGTAAGGGGATTTTCCTTTTTCCCGAAGATTGTGTTTCGTATAGGTGAACTTGAACAAGATGTGCGTGATAGACTTTTAAAAATTGAAATCGACCAGCCGGAGTTGGAAGAAGGATGGAAAAATGATCTAGAATCTGCGATGAAAGACGTCGACAATGATTTAGTCAAAGTAATATTTTCTTATTCAGCAGTTTCATTTATTTCTTCGTTAGGAAGTTATCGAAGGCACGTCCGGTGAAATTAGTCGTCATGATGTCGATATTGCTCATGACACTGACACTTGGGATAAAATAGAACATCAAGCCACATTACTAGGATTAGGTTAGAATGTTTCTTTTGATAAACTTATGAATATACTTGTTTCAGGGGATAATGCCAATCGAGATTGCGAAATAATATATTCTTTTTTCCAATACCTGTTATCTCGATGGGGAAAAGATTTGAATCAAAGAGACGCTGAAGTCAAGAAATCAGCTGCAGGTTCGTGTAGTTGAATCAGACTATATTCCCTCAATTTGTTAAGGAAAACATGAAGCATCCATTCATAAGCAAACTGCCCAGCATTTGAAACCACTCATGGTATCATTGAACAACAAATTCATTAATAACGATATTCGGCATCATCTAACTAAAATATGCAGGTGAGCATCAAACTACTTCTTGATATAAAGGAAGCTTTCTCATATAGAATACTGATTCTGGATAGAAACTATATCACGGCAAACACAGCTTATATGGAAATGGCTATTGGTAATGCCCCGTGGCCTGTGGGAGTTACGCGGTCTGGTATCCATCAACGTCCAGGATCTGCGAAATCTTATGTTTCAAATATTGCTCATGTTCTTAACGATGAGACTCAAAGAAAATACATACAAGGTTTCAAAAGATTGATGACGAGAATGCAGGAGTATTTCCCTACTGATCCATCAAAATGTGTCGAATACTCTAAGAAACAATAAATGTACATTATTAATTGCTTGTGCCAATCCTCATTGGCTAAGTTTTGAATCGTTCAATTTCAGGCTTATAAACCGTTCGAAACTTCCGTTGTTTAGTACAAACGAACAACAGTGAACAGGGAAAAATTGTTTGGTTATCAATGACGCATCATGTCTTGAGAATTTGAGCTAGCCTTGCTTATCTATATTGATCGACCTCTGAAATTCATAACAGACGTAGCCTTACCTGCTTCCCTTCAGAATGATGTTTTTGAATTTAACAAAGAATCGTCAATTCCCATATCTCGGTTTCTGTGGCGTGTCCTTCGTTTTTACTTTGACTTCATTAGTAGTCAGCATCATCTCAGCTTTTGTTGGAGGTCAGTCTTGCAGTCCGGATAGAGTAAGTAAAATTTATTTTAGGATGGATTCAAGAAGGACCAGGTGTCTATATAGCCTCGTTCGATAAAGTTTGTTCTTGAATATCTAATTCTTTCGCAAAATAATGATAATATGCTCAGAATCCAGAATACGTTTGGATCAATACATTGTTCCAAATCGCCATAATGATAACTGAGTTAACGACTTTGCTTCTGCTAGCTCTTTTCATGTTTGATCTAATTATCTGTTTATTTTCTTTATTGTTGCTGTTTCAGTTACACGGAAAAAGAAACTTTGAAACGACTCTCTTTGTCTGTTGCCATAGTTTCACTTATTGTATCATTAGAGCTGTTAATTTTTGTGATGATATGGTATCCTCCTCAGGCGATGGAACATCAAAGCAAATACGATCCAGATCACGAAGTGGTGGTATGTTGAATGCAGATTATCGTATCAAGTAACTTTTTATAGCTTTCTTCCTTTTATTGGAATCTGTTCTTCGTGGTAATCTGCGACGCGTTTGCAATCACGAATGCGATTCTTACATTCAAAGAATACAATGCATTCACTCAATATATTCCGGCACAGGCGATATACCATACTCCTAAGTTTGACAATGACGAGAAAAAAGGACTCTATATCGGCTTGAGATATTGATTGAGTGAATAAACGAAGAAGTCTTGGCTATAATATTGTTTTCATGAAAGGGTTTACTTAAACTTCAAACAGAAAATGACTACTTCACAAGAGGAAAGTGTTTCCATGCAGGTGCGCCTCAAAGAGATTCAATTTTTTTAATGACGTTTACGCAAATAGAAGAAAAACCGTTTCCAAGAAAGAGTCAAGAATAGATAATGATGTGAAATATCTCTTGTTAGACGGTCGTATTAATTACATCATGTTTTGTCTCTTTAACATGATAGTACCGTGTTCCGAAAATAATTATTTTCTACAGTTTCATGTTTGTCCTTTTGGTTTTGGGCGGAGTCACTTACCACTCTTGAATAGACATTGCGTGTTGTGTGCGGTTGGAGAGAGGTTGTGTGAGTTACTGGTGTTAAGAGGGTTTACAGTGTTCTTATTTTGATCCATTTATTTTTATTTATATGAAAAGTAATTAAGATGCACAGAAGAGTTTCTGATTTGGTAAGGAACTCTCTTCTTCGTTGTTTCTTGTAGGTTCTTTTGAAGTTTTTCTTTGTCCGTACTGCTGTAGCATGTTATCCTTTTTCGAACAAGCACCTTCTACATATGTAGTGTTACTTGTTTGTTATAAGTGAGAAAGCGATTGAGAGATCTCTTTCTGTTTCAAGTTGTTCCTTTGAGTTGTTTATTTCTGATTGTTTCTTGTTTTATCCGTGTATTAATTTCCATATTAATATATTTTTTAAGTTATTTGCTTAAAAGTTCTCAGATGTTCAAGGGAACAGCTAACCGTGCACTCATCAAGAAGGTGGAGTCGTCTTGCATGTACATCGAGTACCAGAATTCTTGGATCTCCGTAGTTGTGTTGGCTGAACACTATGCGGTCACAACGCTGCACTGTCTTCCGGAATCTTTTCAAGAACTTGGCCAATCTGTTTCTCTTTGGGATTTGGACGGACAGAACCACAATGCTCACATCCACGGAATGAATAAACTTTCCGATTACGTAGTTTTTAAGAAGACAGACGGATCGTTCTCGTGTATTCCTCAAACGACCCATCCAGCGGTTCTGGATAAGTACGTCGCGGTGGTGAGTAAATGAACTTGATTATTTATTTAGATTAAATAAAAATAAATTTTATAGAGCAAATTTGTAAAATAGTCTTATAATTCACCATTTCTACTAACAATATTTGAACAATATTTTTTCTCTCAGGGGTTCCCGTTTGGGGAAAAGAAAGCTTCATTTCGCCTTGGTCATGTTTCTTCACTGTCTGATGGCAGTAGAGGATTCTTCTATGGTGACTCAGGAGGGTTACCAGGGTTCAGCGGTGGTAGTACTAGTAGCAGTAGTAATAGTATTTGTCACATTTTAGGTGGGGCTTTTTATGCCAGAAACGGAGCTTTGTTGGGAATTGCTCGAGGAAATGAATGGTGCGGAAAGGTAACAATCCAGTATGGAGATGTCTTAGAAATGGTCTCAATTAAACGGCAGCGCCTCAAAGACATTCAATTTTTTAGTGACGTTCACTTTTCTTCAAATAACAGAAAAACAGTTTCGAAGAAAGAGTTAAGAGTAAGGTAATGATGTGAAATATCTTTTGTTAGACGGTCGTATGAATTACATGAAAAGATGTGAAGCCATGTTCACAGGACGTCGCATGTGACAGATTGAAGGCAGGGCAGAACACTCATAGCAATTTCATCCTTTCTGACAACGTGCTCAAGAAAAGTACAGAAAACTGCTGTTCATGAATACGATCTTAGAGAATTTGATCATTTCTGAGCTCATTCCCATTGACTGCCATTGTCAGAGAACGTCTTTTCTTATCGTACTGTTGCTATATACCAGAGCCCTCCCGTGTTCACAGCCGTCATTATCGTAACCCTCTGCACTTCGTTCGAATATTTTCGAAGTTTTTTTCCAACTCAAAGCTTGTCTTTCTTTTTTTGATCTGTTTGGTTCTTTCAGGGATAGGTGTTGCAGAT